ATCTGGGTGAACGGAAAATGTGTATTGTGTAATATGATTCCAACTGTAATATAAACGTTAAATTAAAACTAACTTGTTACAATGATTTCAGCTTTCTTCAACATAGCCCAGGGGGATGATGAAGAGTTCTGAGGCCGCTGCTTCAAGTGCACAAAAAGGATTGTCTTAACTGCCTGACACATGTGACTAAGGCATGTTTAGAGCCTAAGAAAGGTCCCTGCTTACAAAAAAGGAATATTTGTTTTGTAAGACAGTTAAAATATATATATATATTTGAGAGTAAGGGCTAAACTGATCAAATGCCACCCAATTCTGGGGCTGACAGTAATCCAGTGATTATAGGACAGGTCTACATAGATTGCTACTAGATTGCTTAATAAATTGTATGTTGTGTGAATTCTTTGTCTTACATTCTCCGGATCCCGATGCACAAACTGAGAGCAGTTTGTTAATTCAGCAGTGTTGTGAGATAAATTCCTTTGGCAGGATAAACAGCTGACACCAGATAATCCTGATGCCAGTGTTGAGCCAGTTTAGTTTTGGATTAGTTGGCAAATACCACAGTACAATCCTTGTGCCATCCATAATCCACACTACTTTCCTTCACTGGAGACTGTAGTGTCATCCCTAACTAAGTCTATCTTCTGGGTTCTGGCTTCTGTAGGCTATGCACACATTCACCTCGTTCATGTGTTAGGCTGCACACCAAAAAACAAAGATTCTATGATTTAATTTTCTGCTATTGATTCAATGATTCTTGCTAGCCTTGATGTCTTCCTAACCTAGAACACATAATGTGTTTTTTCTGCTATATGTGTGCTGACTCGCCTCAACATGGTGAGAGACACTGCTCCTTTCTGCCTGCCATTGCCCAGGACATAAGACACTCTACAGTATGTTTGTATTAACATCTTACATGAATATGCTGCACATGTTATCCCTCAATAATACAGAAATGTTGCCCCTCTCTCTCTCTCGGAATACAGAAGCACACACTAATTATTGACTATTCCAGGTCAGGACAAAAACCTGCAATGCATTAACACATTTTCAGATTTCTTATACTGAAAACTATTGCAGTCTTAGTAAAGCATCTGCAAGTGCCAAGCCCAAATGTTTGATACTGTTACCAAATATCAGTGTCTCCCCTCTGTCTATTTATGTCATAATTTTCCTCTGGGATGCCAACTCTCTAGTACCAGCTATGGAGTACACCTTTTCCCTCTTTACTTGATTTAGGTATATTTCCTCCTCCCCTGTTGGTCCTTGAATCCCATTTTTAGACCCATTGGCTAAGATCGCCTCTTCTGGTGTGTTTGCCTTTCCCTAATCCATCTTTCTTCTATGTAATTTATCAACCTTTTTGCTCGTCAATAGATGGCGCCACATTCCCATGAATAGAAATTCATTTTACCTCTCCCAAGAGTTCTGCAGACTTAGAAGCTGACCTCCAGCTCCAGAGAGCCTTGATAAAGTTAGAACTTAACTATTATTGAGCTCCACATATAGAAGTCTACATCATATCAAAATCTACCATGAAAATCAGCTGGCTTTGTATTGCTATACAGTCTTATATTGAGATATTGTGCTGGTCGTGGAAGCTCAGCAATATGAACAAATATGATTTATATAAATGCTGGTTTGATTACTTTTCTATACATTGTGCTTCTCACATGCACAATACAACTGAAGCCATGTTTGATGGTATAAAATAGGTCGCTTTAGCACAGCCGGTGATTTACATCATGTGTCAACTTACTGAGAATGAGAAATGGAAATTCCCATGGTGTCATTTATGATTTGAATTAAAATGAGAAAATATCCAATGACTGTGTTATAAGGAGCATTTACTCAAAAATAATGCTTGTGGAGCATCAACATTTTTCTCTCAATTTAGGAGCTTTAAGAAAGCTGTCCGAGTGATATGCCTTATATGTCCACATAGTATGATTTATATTCAAAAGCACTTTTTCTTTTAGTATACCTGGGCCTATTAGGAAGGTTTCACCAGGCATTATGAGGAAATTGTATAAAACACCCACCTCAATTACACCCCTGCTACACTATTATTGTACTATTACTATTATGTTGTTGTTAAACTTAGAACTCTTAATGCCTTTTCTTCTTATAAGTATGTGTGCTGGTGGGTTACCCAGTGAGCTTATGTGCCATTATTATAGATCTGTGAACTGAGTTTGCAACATAAATGAACACCAGAAAGTTCAGTTTAAATTCTTTATTAAGTGATGTGCAACAAACTTTTGGTCATGTTAAGGTTAACACCTTGTACACCTTGAGTAACAACTGGATACGGCATGTATATATAGCACATTAACTTTGAAGGAAACACTTGAAACATGGAATCATTGATTTCACTGCCCACCCCTCAGACGCAGGACAAGATGGAGGGTTGACTCCTTCTGGATGTTGTAGTCAGAGAGGGTGCGGCCATCTTCCAGCTGCTTGCCAGCAAAGATCAGCCTCTGCTGATCAGGGGGAATGCCTTCCTTGTCCTGGATCTTGGCCTTCACGTTCTCAATAGTGTCGCTGGGCTCGACCTCGAGGGTGATGGTCTTACCGGTGAGGGTCTTGACAAAGATCTGCATTCCACCCCTGAGACGCAGGACAAGATGGAGGGTGGACTCCTTCTGGATGTTGTAGTCAGAGAGGGTGCGGCCATCTTCCAGCTGTGCCAGAAAGATCAGCCTCTGCTGATCAGGGGGATTCTCTTGTCCTGGATCTTGGCTTCACGTTCAGCAATGGTGTCGCTGGGCTCGACCTCAAGGGGATGGTTTTTAGATCAGGGCTTGACAAAGATCTGCATGCCACCCCTGAGACGCAGGACAAGATGGGGGTGGAGATGTCCTCAGAGAGGGTGCGGCCTCTTAGTCTTGCCAGAAAGATCAGCCTCTGCTGATCAGGGGAAACCCCTTCTTTTTCCGATCTTGGCCTTCACGTTCTCAATGGTGTCGCTGGGCTCGACCTCGAGGGTGATGGTCTTACCAGTCAGGGTCTTAACGAAGATCTGCATACCACCCCTGAGACGCAGGACAAGATGGAGGGTGGACTCCTTCTGGATGTTGTAGTCAGAGAGGGTGCGGCCATCTTCCAGCTGCTTGCCAGCAAAGATCAGCCTCTGCTGATCAGGGGGAATGCCTTCCTTGTCCTGGATCTTGGCCTTCACGTTCTCAATGGTGTCGCTGGGCTCGACCTCCAAGGTGATGGTCTTGCCAGTCAGGGTCTTGACAAAGATCTGCATGCCACCCCTGAGACGCAGGACAAGATGGAGGGTGGACTCCTTTTGGATGTTGTAGTCAGAGAGGGTGCGGCCATCTTCCAGCTGCTTGCCAGCAAAGATCAGCCTCTGCTGATCAGGGGGAATGCCTTCCTTGTCCTGGATCTTGGCCTTCACGTTCTCAATGGTGTCGCTGGGCTCGACCTCGAGGGTGATGGTCTTGCCAGTCAGGGTCTTAACGAAGATCTGCATACCACCCCTGAGACGCAGGACAAGATGGAGGGTGGACTCCTTTTGGATGTTGTAGTCAGAGAGGGTGCGGCCATCTTCCAGCTGCTTGCCAGCAAAGATCAGCCTCTGCTGATCAGGGGGAATGCCTTCCTTGTCCTGGATCTTGGCCTTCACGTTCTCAATGGTGTCGCTGGGCTCGACCTCGAGGGTGATGGTCTTACCAGTCAGGGTCTTAACGAAGATCTGCATACCACCCCTGAGACGCAGGACAAGATGGAGGGTGGACTCCTTTTGGATGTTGTAGTCAGAGAGGGTGCGGCCATCTTCCAGCTGCTTGCCAGCAAAGATCAGCCTCTGCTGATCAGGGGGAATGCCTTCCTTGTCCTGGATCTTGGCCTTCACGTTCTCAATGGTATCGCTGGGCTCGACCTCGAGGGTGATGGTCTTGCCAGTGAGGGTCTTGACAAAGATCTGCATGTTTGCGCCTGTGTAGAATTGAGATACATTAAATCAGGACTTCATAAAAAAATAAAAATGTATTATTTTTATATATATGCATGTGTATTTTTATAATAAAATAAAAGTTTTAAGTAATTCATCTTGAATTACAGTAGTTACCATAAGTAAATGTATCCTTTACAACCCTTTAATTACTTTTTACACAAGACGTAGCTAGCTCTGGCATTACGTTTACATTAAATTCAGTTGTGTTCATATGAGGGTCAAATCACGTAAACTAAAAATACCATATTGAAATATTAGAAAAGTAGAGAAAAATAAATAAAGCTCTGAACTATCGGCAGCTCATCAGCCATTCCAGCCCGAGCGCCATTTTGAGCTCATATTGACCTTCCTTTTGTTCCGCCAACGTTACCAGATAATGGACGATACTGGAAATGTCGAGTCATTGCTATAGCTAACACTAGCTAACCACTACTGCGTTACAGTTTCGTCGAAATCAAAGACGAACTGCTTGACGTTGAAACTCAAGAAACCTGTATGAAACTAAAAATAGTGTAGCTAAACCACTTAACGTTAATTTGAGACTGATAACACTTTTAACATTCTCTATAATTCTCTAACTTTAAAACTACAGCACACGTCACCAAAGAAAAACTACTAAAGCATTCAATGTATACATGTTTTGAAATATAATGATAACACAGCTTGAAACAATAGAAGAAAATGACTTACTTCTTAAAGACGCAGTAATTTCAAATTCTGTATTCAACTTGTGCAGCACAGCCTATTCAAGTCTTCCTGTGAAGAGTAGTGCTGCAGTACAGACAACACTGTATTATATACCGGAGTCTGCATGCCTCATCTCCCAATGTCCGTCCGCACTGGAAAGTAGTCCCTCCGATCAGTAACACACTATTTCAACATATAGTAGGTCTATTTACAGTTATATTTCATTTCATAATAATACGTTTACTTATAAACGTAAATGTTTTGACAAAAATAGTGTGCTTTAAAACGATAATTTGACATATTCTTTGCGGCGGAAGAATATTTTACCGCACTGCGTCTAGAATTTGCTGGAACCACCCAGAGCCACCATAGCAACAGGAACCTTCCCCGAGCTTCTGATTGGACTGTACGATTGTTTGTTTGACCGCCGATTGGTTGCTGTGTTACTGTAAGTATTGTTTAATGAATACGTTACTTTTATGACTATGTGCTTATAAAACAGGCCTGTTCCCGAATTATACAATACCTATAGACAACATCTTGTGTAATTCTAGGCCATGATAGTGTAGCGTCGGTATTATACGTGGATATTTCCACCTTACTTCAAAATTTAATATCATAACCATTGTCAGGGCTTCCTCAAGTGTAAATGACTATGCGTTTATGTGACACGCAAGAGGGACGTGTGCAGACATGAATTCCGCTGAACGTGCCAGTTAACAGATGGAAACGTGCTCGGCAAACATGTGCTACCAGCTGTTGTGACAGCAGGGTAAAGTATTTCGGGCCAACAAGGAGATAACACTGCTAACTTTACCCGCCTGATTGTATTCACTCACAGTCCTTATCCACCCGAGGTTTCTTATTACACAGGCCATCTAAATACAGAATATATTTATGATTTATAGCCAGCCAACATGAGCACCACTGCAAAATATGTAATTTGATAAAGAGAATTTGCTGATATTGGTTATCTGACAGTCACACAGTACAGTCACGAGCACAGACTGTATGGCCATGACATTAATACTGAAACAAGTGATGTTTGAAACCCAGAGAGACCATATTTGGTTGGCCTAAAGATATACTGTATATAAGTGTTCTGCCAGATGTCATTTAGGCTTGTTTTATTTAGGTGTCTTTACTGAAACTACACGTTAAGTTGTTGCTGTGTGGCAGCACTGACATGTTTGTTTTAATTCTGCTTACCAAGACATGCTGTACAGAGAGCAGATTGTTGAATAATCTATGAAAAACGTTTGTATGGCAGAAGTAAAAAGGACACTCACAAGCAGTTAATGTACAGCGTTAACACAATTCTCACACACTCTTAAAGCCTCTCAGCATTTGGTTTGCTTACAAGACACAATAGGATTATATACAGAAGGATATTGTTTTCATGGCTGAAGCTCATATGATATCAGATCAGATTATTTTCTATCTTCTTTGTTATTTACTTGAGTAATTTATCCCAACGCACAATGGTAAGTATTATTCATTGTACTGTCAAAGTCACAAGAAAGGGCTTGATCTTGTTCCATGAGCAAAAGTCTAACTATGGCATGATGTCAACGCCCAGGTGATGGGCCTACTCTTGAACACTGATTAAATGAAGTGAGTTTCTGTGATGTTGCTGGAGTGAAGTGACCCAGCTGATTAAACATGATATGAAAACGACTATATAAGATTTAGGTCAGTCTCCAAAGTTGGTTATGGTAACTATTACAGGACTGTGACATGGTCAAGAGTGCACAGATTACTGGCATCTTCAAGTAGCAACCAGTGATTTGACCACTTTATAGACAACTGTAAACTAAATAATAATAATAGCAAAAACTCAGATGGGGGTCTGTAGTCTACTTGGGTTCTATTTCTGGGTCATAGATATAATACAGCTGGGATAGTCCTAATTTATGTATTTGGGTCACAGCATTCCCTTTCCCCACCCCTGCAGCACCCTGTCATATGACACCCAACCCATGATGCACCGTGCTAGTGCTTTCCAGCACAGAGCAGAGCGTCTGGCTGAACTAGTTCAACCTCTGAGGAATGTGTTTGTGCAAGTCTGCTGTACTTTGCCCTGCCCCTTGCATGGAATAATTACTGACTGACTCAGTGTTCCAGGAAAAAAGATCTCTCAAGCAGGATACAGGCCTAGCCGAGTCCCGTGGACGCTGACTATTATCACGTGAAAGAAAGTGTCTGTGGCTTGGCAGAACAAACTTGACGTTGGCTTTTCTTAGAGGTACCCACCTTTGAATTGAATTTACAGATTCATTGATTACATTGATAGCTGCGACTGTGTCAAAGGTTAACTAGCAGAGAGGTTTTTAATGTAAATGTGACTCTTATCAGTGATGGACGTTGACTTGTGTTTTCTTTGACAGGGTGATTTAGGGTGGGACGTTCACTTCCACGTCAACAGGTTTCACAATAAACACGTCACACCAGTTTCACCAGAACAGTTGGGTTACCCCTTCCCTGTTGTTTTCTTGTTGACATCAAGGTCACTTAAGTAACGCTACACATCCCAGAATAACTCAAATATGAACATATGTATTCATCATGATGGTTTCTTATTTTCTCCATAGAATGGATCTTGTGAAACATACAGGCGGCTGCCACTGTGGGGCTGTTAGATTTGAAGTCTGGAATCCCCCAGACCTCCATGTTTTTGAGTGCAAGTATGGATATTAAACTCACTGATATTGTCTCATAATCTTCAATAATACATGTGAGATATGTACATCTAAAATTCATTGGCAGTCTCCTGCCTAAAAATGTAATTGTAACACACAAGCTACATTTTTACGTTTGGATTAAAAATGAACATGAATTCTACAACTATCGTTTTCTTTACTTGTATACTTTTTGGCAAATTAAAAAACTGATTCATGTCTGTTTCTCAAGCTGCAGCATTTGCACAAAGAAACAAAACTATCATTTCATTGTTCCAAAACATCACTTCACACTCTTACAGGTAGTAAACTCAAGCAATACTTTATTCAGTTTCACTTAAAAAGTACATTTTTAGTAAATAAGACATTTTTCTTCTTCCCAGGGGTCAGATAATCTGACCATTTACACCTTTAACACTCACGTTGCTAAACACACCTTCTGTAAAACCTGTGGAGTTCAAAGTTTCTACACCCCGCGCTCCAACCCTGATGGATATGGTATGACCGCTAACTGCTGACACAAGACAGTCACACCATTCTCATGTGTTGTAAACTTATTTCATCATCCTGCTGTTTACTCCAAACTACCTCTGTGGTGTTTACACCAAACTAACCAACCCAGCCTGCTCTTTAATGCCATAGCTTTATGGTATTTGTAGAAAACAGAAATGTTGTGTTCACAATGGGAGATACTAGTGATCTCAGGAAACCACCCATGAAACCTAATATTTTGTATTGATCAAACCTGTATAGACAGGTTGTCAATTAAATGTGCAGGAGACAATGGACTGTTTTGTTCATACACAATTCAATGAGCTGTTGTTGTTTTGTCCCCAGGTGTCGCTCCACACTGTCTGGATCCAGGTACCGTCCGCGGTGTCACAGTGGAGAAGTTTTGTGGGGAGAAGTGGGAAGAAAGCATGCAAGCTCACAAGAGCATCAGAGACATGTCTAAATCTGCAGCAGACACACAGCTGAGAGAAACTAAATAACACCACTCTGATACAAGAATCAAACTTTTTTTATTAGCTGTAAATCAGAAATACTGTACAATATCTTTGAAATAATAGGATAACTTGGTTTTATACAGTGTTTTGACTCAAAACAATAAAGATGTTCTGTTTTTGTTATTTCAAAGTTATTGCCAGTTGTATTTAAGGAAAGTGCTTTTGAAAAAAGGCTACATTACACTGTGAGCAAAATAGCTCATCAGATTTGTAAACAGCTAGTACATTCACTCCGACCACAGTATCTGAGTAGTTAGGCAGCGGGACGACTAACACAGTAACAATCAGTGCATCTGGATGATCTGAACTTTAATAGATCTTCAGGTTCTTGGGTCCTTGTGGGATAATTTGGAATGTGTTTATGAACATGTACCGAGAGAAGGCGATGTAGAGGTAACGAAACCACAGGAGTTGAGAGCGATGGCAAAACATGGCATCCTGAAAAGAAAAGAGGGTTGTTTGAGAGGTTATATAAGCCCCAACAAGATAATTGTAAAATCTCATTTAACAGCAGTAGTATTAAAAAAAAGATCTGTGTAAATGTATTTCTTTTTTTTATTATTTCTATAACATTAGCTTGATGAGACATAATTTCAAACTTTTTCTCCACTCAGCACTTATACTGTATATAGCCTTATTAAAATGTGCTGAAACATGTGCCCTTTCTAATAGTAGACTGTGACACATCTTTGCCAACAAAGTGTCTATTTTGAGGCTTACTTTGGCTTGCCTGTATCCCTGTGAGCCTATAACACAGCAGAGACATGAGGGCAGCAGCCAGCTGAGAGGAAGCTCCAGGAAGGTGGTGTACTTCCTGAGGAGGCCAACAGTCACCAGGGAGAGCAGACAGCAGTCTGGGAGAACAGACAGAGACCCAGTCAGCTGTTAATATGTTAAACACTCACTACAGCAGCAGACAGATAACTAGGCCTTTCTCTCAGGTTGTTCAAATGTTTTTATTATGAAGCAACCTCATGTCACCACACAATAGCATATCTACACCAACTTTATTTTTCTGATGTCAGAAAATAAGACTGGATAACCTGCTACAGAAATATCCCATTATATTACAGTGTTAAAATAGTACTCAAGTTTTCACCCTAACACTTGTCTTGAAGCAGGAGTTTATGGGGCACAAGAGGCTTAAAGCTGTCTAACAGGCAGGGAGTCTTGCTGTACAGCCAGGTGAGGAGGCTTATTACAGTCACATTGGGCCTAATTCTCTGCCGCCTCTCCTGGAGGCTACAGTGAGACCAGTAAACAGGTGAGGTGTAAATGCCTGGTAATAAATAACCAAAGAGCACGATTAATGACCTACTTGCTGTTTTTAAGGTTGCTCGCTGAAAAGGGCAAGGCAGACTGAAGTCATTCTGCTCTAACTAAAGAGTGTGTGTGCTGCAGCCTCGGGACTCAGATGATAATATCTTCCTGCTGTTCAACAGCACAGTCCAACCATTGAGATCTCATATATGATTAACTACACGGACCTGCTCAGCTTGTTCCTTATCGTCCTGTCTATTCAAACATTTATGTGGGTGTGCTCTGTGGACCTTAATGTTTACCAAACTAGCAATTTGAGCATGCCTGGGCAGTAAATATATGAAGAGACAGATTTTAACATCTGCCAACAAAAGAGAGTTTGAAACTACTAACATCTGGAATAAAGCCGTCATATGTATTTTAAGAGGAACATGGTTAAAAAACAAACAAACATTTGTTTTCCAACTGATGTTTCTGATATCCAACTGGCCTCATGCTGCCACCAGCAGACCAAAATGTATATAGACACAAGAATCATGCAGCCCTTTTGGACAGAAGAGGGCGCTGTGCATTAACAAAATACCCAGCCTGAGTCAGTGTTTACAGGACTTTCCAAGGTTCTCAATGAGGACTGGAGAGGTGGTGCTTCTCATGTGAGGACGTCACTCCTGTCTTATCTGATTGTGAAACAGTCTGTGTCTTTAGTTTAAAGTGCTACTTAAAGCTTAATGATTAATACAACTTTTGTTTGAGCACATGTACTTAGTTTCATTGTAATTCACATATCTAGTGGAGACTGTTTCTGCTTGAACAACTGGCTCAAGAATTTTGAGACAGTTGAGACAACCTTTCTAAGAGTGACTATTAAATCCAATCCGTGATACTTTGGACGCAGATTTTGAAAAATATGAACAACTTGAAAGTGTGTCAAACCTACCGTTGGGTACTTGTCCAGTAGAAGCAAGATGGCTGCAAATGGAGAGAATACCAATGTTACCCACAGAAACTGTCAAGGATGTAATCAAAGAGATTAAACAAACTACTGAGAGGGTTTGTGTTGGCAACCTTTACAAAAACAATGTGATGGTTCTACTTGCCAATATGTAACTGAGATTATAGTTTTGGTTACACTGATTACAACACAAACAGATAAGCGACTAGAAGCCCATAGGAAAGGCCATGGAGTGCTGCAGCCAAGCTAGTGCTAAACATCCACTATTATATATGTTGTTCAGGTCTTGTGTATTTTTTGTATAGCAAAAACACGATTTCATATTCTACTGCTACAACAGTAACTTGTCTTCAAGTCTTGGTGGGAGCACAGTCAAGTTTTCCTTTCAAACTTTCATTTCCATGTGCAATAGCTGTTAACATTTTTGACAAAAACAAAACCCAACATCAAACATTGAGCTTTAGAGCGATGTGAAACTAGCGCACAGCCCCTCTGGGTTCCAGCCTAATGGGAATCATGAGATGTGATTTGGAGAGCTCACATCTTATCAACAGATGAGGCCCACAGATTGACAGAGAGCCATATAGGCTTAGTGAGGGAAAAGACCATGACTAACACAGCAGACAATTAAGGCATCAGTGCACCATGGGGACAGCAACATACACTTCATGGTGCAAAACACAAAAAAAAAAACAACAGTCTGATGCAACTTGCTTCATTGGCCTCTCCAAACCAGAACTGCCCTCCCACCTTACCACTTCAGGGACAGGATTTACTGCTGCTCTCTGGGAGCAAAGCCGAGTGCCTCTGAGGACTCTGTTTGGATGACCTCTCAGCTATGTAACAGACCAATTCTGAAAAACATGGTGTGTGTGTGTGTGTGGAAACATTTGGAAAGATTGATGTTGATGCAAGTCTAAATGTTGTGCATTTTCCTGGATGGTATTTTATGATTGTCGAGTGGTTTCTGTGTGCATGTGTAAGCCACACAATATCCCTGAGGATGGCATCTTTAAATTGTGGGATTTAAAAAAAAAAAAAAAAAATCAAAGCTTTAAAGTTCAGTCAGTACCTGACAGCTTTATGGAGGGCTGTGTGATTGCCATGGCCACTCACTCCTCTTCCATCGAAGGTCAGCACCTGAAACAACAAAATATCTCATTGTGTGGGTGAAGAGCCAGAATCTGGGTATCTAAAAGTGAACTGAAATAAACGGAGGCAAAAACAGAGGGAGAGATTTTTCTTGGGTTAGTGGAAGGGTTTCTGTGTCTGACTATGGAGCTGCTTGGCAGCTGACAACTGATATTTAAAAACCTTTTTCTGTTTGCATGCTTGCACACCAGAGGAATAAAGAGAAAAAAAAAATCAGGTCAAAGGGAAAGAAAAAGTGCTTGACTAAAGACTTGGCATTTGGTATGCTCAGGAGTATTCTACCATGACTATGTCCTTAGCTCCCAACCACCACATTTTATAATTAACTTATGAACTTTGAATCTTTTCATTCTTGCTGGCTTGTATATGGAAAAGCAGTAGATTGGCACGGTGTCACAACAAGGAAACAATATAGTTCAGTTTAAGAGCAGAAAAAAGTAATTTAGGTGTATATATTCAATAGAGAAGATGTTTATGTGTGTAGAGAAGATGTTTATGATTCTCCAGTCTACTTTTTGGTCTGGAGGCATTTTTGTGCTGCAGAGCCTGACAGGATGGGAGGAGACGGTGTGTTTGTTTGTCACCTTTGATAACATAAAGAGATCAGCAACTACAGGATAGAAGAACCCAGCGGTATGTAATCATCCTACCTACAGAACTGTGGGTTTTGTTGATATTGCTGCTGTACTTTCTGTTGGTCGGAGCATTTGACTATATTTGCCCCTGTTAAGATAGACAGGATGAAAATTCTTTGATTCTAAATTTGCCACATTCCCATTAGCTAATAGTGCGGAACTGCACTGGGACAGATAAGGATCTGTGTGTAAACACAGAAAAAGAGTCCAAACTTTCTACTGCAGCAGAGGCCACTTCCCCTCATTTTCAGGGAGGCTCAAAGTACAGTCTGAGGTGGACAAAAAAAGACAGCGGCTGACAGGACTATTACACAGACCACAGTAAAACTGGGATAATGAGCAAGAAAGCTGTGGAGCCAAAACATATGGTAAAAACAAAACAATACATAGATTTTGTACACAGAATAGCAGGGAAATTGTGTGTTAACATCAAACAGGAAGTGGCAGAAAAGCCACTACTTTGAAAGGAAAGAATTTAGAGCTGAGCATACCATGTTGAAGGAGTGAACTCTTAGGTGCTTCACAATTATAGAAGAGACCAATGAGACACTCCATTCTGCTTTGGGATCGTCTGGAAGTTTTCTGGAGGGCAAAGAAAGGGATCCTGGTTATCTACTAAGTTACTTAGATACAACAGTTTTTAATGAGAACTCAAGAGCATTCTACACAATGCATTAAACCCACTGGGTGTTAGGCTGAGCTGTCTTATTCTTTTCTGAGCACCAGATTGCACAGTGCAGATTTAACCAGGCATTTGAAAAAGAAAAAAAAGAGGCTGTTGTGGAATGCAAACACAAGGGAGTGCTGCTGGGAAGTCTAGGGGTTAAGGGTCGGAAGGCCCTTAGCATCATGTTCATCTGTGACTGCAGCCTGGAGACAACATGGAGCGTACATCAAACATCACACATGGCCAACTCAAGCTTTAGGCCTTACTAAACATGCACAGACTGCCTTTTCCCCTCAGTTTAGAAAATAAAAGCATTGCTTTCTATGGTTGTTCAATGTCCCACATGAACTTGAGACAGCAGCCACAAAAAATAAAGGGAGAAATGTGCTTAAAAACCTAGTCAGGCAGACTCAGATATGAGGTGGGCCAACATGGTTCACATAAAAAACAAAGTCTTGAAGGATTGCATTTCAAATGGAGCAGATCAAGTTTGTCATGTATCGTTTCTCTGCTTTATGTTGATCAAAAACACAACTAACAAAGGAAACTGACAGGACAGTTTGGAATAGTAAACTGTGAGGGTCTTGGTTCAACGAGATAAGCAGGCAGATCAATGACATGACGTGTTGTTGTACAAACGGGGTAGCACGAGTGACATGCATGTGCATAAAGTGGGGGTAGGTGTGTGTCAACAGTTGTACCCCTCCCCTTTACTGCTAACAATGAGTCAGGACAGTTGAGTTATTAGAGGGGAAGTGATGGATTAGGCCACAAATCTATTGGCTGCCAGTGATGTGAGGGTCAGGCTCTGGTGTAAGGGGTGGTGAGGTGGGGGTTGGCTATGTCACAGGGAGAAGGGGCAGAAGGTCAGGGGTTCAGAGATAGTTTAAAACTGTCTGTCATCGAATGAATGAATAAATGCACTGCTGTGACACTTTGATACCAGTGACATATCATAAGGGCTGTGTGTGGGTTTACAATGACACTGTGAAATGGAATCTTGTTTAGACAAATGTTAAATCATTTTAATTAGTTAATTAATTAATTAATTAATTATTAAAACACAAGGATAATGTCCTAATTTCTGTCTGCTAGAAACAAGTAGAGGATTCTGTTAGAATTTGGCCAAAGTACATGTATATTAAGTACTGAAATATCACGCTGAGCTCACAGCTATCTAACTCTGTTTTTTGAATACTGCATTTTTTTCCCCACTGCATTTATTCATTTATTATTTTAGACGTTTGGCCTTACAACTTGACAACCACAGCTAAGCCCAAGCCTGCAAGGAGGGGTGAAAAAAAGAAAAATGAACAAAAGATATAAGACACCTGACCTTTCTAAAGCAGGATGCAGGCAGAGTGTCAGCTTCACCATGGCAACAGTGCAAAATGTCCTAAAGTAACCTCCACAGCTCCCCCTTTGTAGCTTTGCATGTGGATGTCTAATTGCTTGCAGGCATCTGTATGCAGTTGTTGAACTTTGGCCCAGTAAGGGGATTCTGTGTGTGTGTGTGTGTGTGTGTGTGTGTGTGTGTGTGTGTGTAATGTGTATGTGTGTCAGAGAAGGCTTGTTTAGTCTGGTCACATGGACCACAGGCCTGCGAAACTGCCAGACTTTTGTCCACACAGTCAGATTATATGTCCTGCTGGGAATGGCTGAGATGCCACTACAAACTGACAGTACGCCCACAATATCCCACTGTAATAAGGCAGTTACAACTATAGTAACAACACCAACAGACACAGGTTGTTTCACAATGATTTGGAGACATTTGTGGTTGCAGGTTTTGCCAATATTCACCCATGTTGAGGTAATAAACCCTCATGAAAATAACCATGAAATAATGTTGTTTTGATTGAAATAAGTTGTGCAGAAAAAGAAGAATATAATGTGACAAAATTTAAGTTTGTTGCTGGCTGTGGGAGGCACTGAATGTGAAAAGCAACTGGAAACACACAGCCAGAGGTCAGTGCTAAGGCTGGAACATCTCACCACTATTTACTGCGCCCTGCCATGTGCTTAAAAATCAGCAAGGGCTATTTTTACCACTGATCAATGAGTGCTAACTGCAGCAAATATGTCTTTTCTTTCCAGAGTGATACATGCAAACAGAGAATTACAGGAATTCAATGAAAAACAAAAGCTTTCTGTTTGAGATTGAAGATTTATTTAACTCAACTAAGTTATCATGGATGGAGTCAAATGGTTAAAATGAGAAAGAAATGCAGTGGGTGAGACAGTTGAGAGTTGCCTCAGTTCAGTCTGATGGATAATGTAATGAAGAAGTGGAATGGTTGGATTTGTGCAGTGAGCAGCTATAATCGAGTCCAGGGAGCAGACAGAGGTCAAGCCAGTGCAAGTGGAGCATACTCAGATCGAGCTTGATCACAAAGGCCCCAACATGCACTGGGGCCCCAGATACTGTCAACACAGCTGTCCTATTCAGTGAGCATTAAAGGGAAAATCCTATTTTAAAACAGAATTCACATGTTATTCCTGTTATTCCATAGGCTATGGTTGTGCGTGAGCAAGTCTCACTCATATCATCGTGACACAACTCACACTGCGCGCTGGACTTTTGTTGTAAAGTTGAGACTTTAGCTGTGAAAGTCTAGTGGATTCTGTGCACCACCCTACCCTGGTGAATGAGATAGCAGTACATAGTCACAGCCCATATTGCAAAAGTACAGCTTAACGCTCATTTAGTCTGGTATTGACTACTCATTGCTCATTTCTAGTTTGTTTCACCCGGTTTTATATATATTTGAATATTTTCACTCCACTTGTAAGATGACAATGTTAATTAAAGGTGACCTGTGGAGTTTTCTTGTAAACAAGCATAAACAGCAAGCCACTCATAGAACAACTGCTCCATAACACTACCAGAGGTCAAAAACTCCCCAGGGAACCATTATTTCTTATAACAAGATGATATGAATCGCTTTTGGTCTTATTCAAATACACTGCCAGCATTACATTAATTTGAACCATGACAGGATTTTAAGTGCGATGGCTAACTTTCTAAGGCACAACACACTTGCTGGTTTGTGTTTGCATTACAAAAGAAATAAAACCCAGCTTGGCATACAAACTCAAGGCAAATATTTTGAGCCCACAAAGGTTTTGTCCTTTGATAGCATCACATAAAAATCTCAGTTCTTGAGGCAAGGCGCTCATTTTCATGGCTACTGTGCTTGTTTTAGACTTGACATAATCTTTGATGACTTCATTGTAAGCCTTCAACGCATAACAGATTTGCCTGGAGATCAGAAGCGCAAGTACTGTATATAACCACCTCCAGTCATTATTGTCTAACCCATTATCCATCTAAGGTCTGACAGTGATTTAGTCTCTGTAGTTTAACAGTTATTTCCAAAATAACTAGAGCTTACACAAGTATTGTTTTACAGTTGCAAAAACAACAAAAGTCATGATATGTTTACTATGTAGATCCAAAGTCCAATATCTTTCTTCATATACTCTACAGTTTCCTCATCGACAACACTTTCATAGGTTAATGCAATTAAAGCAGTCGAGAAAATACAGGAATCATAACGGATGAAAAAGAACTTCGCAATTATTTTCCTAGAAAACACTTGGACTATGATGTACAAGCTATTTAAGAACTGTAATAAATGAAATCCCTCACTCTGTGTTTAGTGGTCCAGCAAAACCCATTTATAAGTAGTTTAATGAACATGTACATATTCCTACATTTTGTCCATTTATATAAATGAGGATAGATACAAAGTATCAATATAATGCAACTACACCACAAACTACAGCCTCAAAACAAAAACATATCATTATAACCTACATGCTGGTAGGAATAATTGCAGAGTGTATTTGTTTTAGCTAGGCATACCTAATAAACTGGCAACTGAGTGTAAATGCTGAAATTACTTCGATAAGACGCACTGAGCTTTTGTTTCTATTCAAATGGTCTTTTTTCTATTCTCTACCAAGTTTGCAATGCATCTTTTTCTTACTCTGTGCACAATAAAATGACCATTAAGAAAAACAGGGAAAGGTCAAGCCAAGGATGTACATCTGCACATACTTGGCCAGAGAAGGTTAAGAGCAAAGCCAAAGTGTGGCTAACCATGTACAGACACACAAAGACAAAAACAGTTTGGAATGACCTACATTAGCAGTGCTCAGAGCTTTGCCAAAATGTATCCCACAGTCCTTGGCAGTTGGCTTCAGCAGACATGGACAGAGGAGGAGGAGGAGGAGGAGGGGAGGAGGAGGAGGAGGAGGAGGAGGGGTGAAACAGAGGGAGGGAGCAGTGAGAAGAGAGAGAGAGAGAGAGAGAGAGAGAGAGAGAGAGAGAGAGAGAGAGCGAGAGCGAGAGCGGGGGGGGCTTGGGCTCTCAAAGTGCTGATTAGGTGTGTGTTTTGGGCAAACAACAGAATACACAGAAAGGGAAAACGGGCTACACTCCAGTTCAGCAGAAGTGCAGACAGTACTAAGATCAAAGTTCAGCTATATTCTGTGTGCACAAGATGATAAAACTGTTAAGTCTGTGCGTGTGTGTGTGTTTATACACAGACACACACACAAACAATGTTCTCTAGGGCAGACAACCTGGGCAGGCTGCCAGCTTATTACTGTGAGTTCCAGGTTAGTGCCAGAGTTCATACAGCCTCTCTTGGTGAGCAAACACATAGAGACTCACATGTAGGCAGCCCCGCGGTTCTTAGAAACTCAAAACATTTTCAAGGGAAGTTGCAGGATTGATCCACAGGGGGAAAAAAAATCCTCCTTTTCTACATCACCTCTTACCACTGCCTTCTCTGTAACTTGACCTTGCCAATAGCCAGAGCCTAGAGAGTCTTACAGCTGCATCAACAACAAAATATAGGAGAAAACAGAAGAGCGTTTTCCACAAGAATTTGGAAAACAATGCAGTTTGAAGTTCTACTCCCACTTCTCTCACAGCTTTGAATGTGAAATGACAATGGATATGAGGGAAAGAGCTATAGCTGTATATACATCTTTATATCATTCCATGGTGACAAAAATACAAATATTTTATCATCTCCACTAGACACATGTAAGTCTGTCCACACTAATACTACAGGACCCATCAGCCTAATATTTTTGTCCACATTTTTAACTGTATGTTTAAAGATCTCTCATGGTTGCTGTGATTCACAGTTTTATTCCACCATTGACAGCTGACTGCTCATTCCTCCAACTGGCCCAGTTGGGGCGCAGAGTTCGCCATTATGTGTTACGACATCACATAAGGCAAAAAACAACAATAACCATATGGCATTTCGAATAGCGGTCTGTTATGAGAAAAATAAAATAGCGAAAGCAGGTCACCCGGACAAGTAAAAAGGTAAATTTACTTGTGGCTCAAAAAGTTTCATTTTCATTTGTTGTGAAAGAAAAACCTTATTAGATACTTGTTCCTGTAGTGTACTCTAAGATTAATGAGAGTTAACAAACAAAGCTGGAACGTGCATATTTTCTAACCAATATATTTTCTCAATCCACAAATAACTTGCCAGGGAGGAGAGAGTAGCACCCTTCATTTCACCCTCTACCTCTGGGTGCTATGCTAAAACATTGCCAGCACAAGAAACACTAAAAGTTGAATAGACACATAGGTATGGAACCCCCAAATTACCATCTCAGGCTTGTTTTCAACAAATCTGAACTACCTTGCTCAGTGGCTTCTAAACAATGCGTTGCACCAGTACTTTCATTTAGTTGTGAGGAAGAATCATTTAATTGTTAGACCTCAGTCATCCAAATGTACCCAAATCCCCCTTAGGAATGATTGATATTGACTAGTCCATCGTGACTGCTCAAGCAGGTTGATCAGTCCCTACAGGAAACGCAAATTCAACCAACCCCTGAGACTTCTGCGCAACCTTGGTATTTTGTCCAATCAATGCAACTTTTCCACAAATTTGACCAATCATTATAGTTAACTGCACAAAAGGTTGAGCCATACGTCACTGAACTTACTACATTGTTTCTAGTTGTGAAGATGCAGACATATGTGGTGCAAATGTCTCACATTTACCTTTTCCAATCAGTGTAATTTTATCTTCACTGGAACAAGTTTCCTATGATTTGTAGTGAATTACACACAAAAAAATACTGATCACAACTATTTTAACTATTTTAACTTGCTAAAAAAATGCCTAAAACATTGCAACATGCATCATATTTTAGTTTTAAAAAGCTGCCGTATATTCAGGAATTTTAGGCCGCATGTCATCTAATTTATTTCCCCAGTTACCGAGAGGTAACACATCAGGGCAGCTTTGTTGTAGTGAGAATAGATGGGTGTGATTTGTGATCAACTCTCTATTTGTTCTGACAGACACTGGGTGGTGGGGAGGGGACAGATGGGCTCCAACAGGCCGACATGCTGAGAACCTGACTCCTGAACTAAAGGGAGCATAAGTACATTTTGTTTTTAACCAACAATGAGCCTCAGTTTTAAATCATAATCAAAGTGAGCAATGGATGTGAACAAACATGTTTAACACACAAATCTGAATAATCAACAGTGCAAGCTCTTGTGCGAACACAAACTTGCATTGCAATTTGCATGTTGTGTATTTGGTGCAGACGGTTGCTTACTTATGGTCTATTATGGTGATTCTGGATTCTGGTATCCCCAGCACGGCACAGCTGTTGAGAAGCTCTTGTTTACGCTGAGCTCCTTGTTTGTAGTAGTTTCCTGTATATTTGGAGGACAAATTAGATGTATCATAATGAACGGAAAATATAAATACAGGTCTATATTAGTTATTTTGAAATATCATATTTTCTTTAGCTGTGTAATAATGGTCTTCAAACATCAGTTAAGTTGGATCTAAATGGAATAAAGTGCTGCACTGATTTTTTTTTATTAGTACAACAAACAATGACACCTTTGGAAATTGAGTAGATTCGGTGACAAAGGTTGATGCTTTTACTTTCTAAAAATTACATTTATACTTGCCTGTAGTTCACCAAAGTCACATTTGGCTATTTGGGGTTTTAAGTTGATGGACACCAACATTAGCATTACCTAGAAAGCCTAGTTTCATATTTGTGTGATTTGTATTATTTGATTGTGTTGCTTTACCCATCTTTCTTAGGCTTTCCCTATTTTACCCAAATACAACTCTTTCTAATCACCAGTGGGAAAAGAAAGACTGACTTTCTTAACTCATAAAATAGTCAACAGCAGAGTGATTTAGTCACAAGTAAAACACCAGCAAACAACTTCCTGAATCCTGATTCTAGGCTGACACAACATAGCATGACTTCAAACAGAAATGCTCTTCAGGTAGATTCGCAGCAACATTTTAAACTAATGAATTCATGAATAACGTGGTTAATCAAAACCAGTTTAAGGCACCGCATCTATCAGAATAATACTATGAGTTATTTAGTCAGACACAGTCGCTGTATCCATAGCAAACACCATTAATCCTGACACTGATAATGCAAACACTGTGCTATATAACGGGATGTTCTGCTCAATGGATGACAAAGCAGCGCCACTGTTTTATGAGAGCTGCTGTTTCACTTTCATTCATTCAAGCCTACATTTATCTTTCTCTCTAACTGTGCTCTGACTTATTACCACTATATATATGCAGACAACAGAGTGCTGTCACCGTACCTTCAGACAAACACAGCAAATGGACGCTGGCATTTAACTGAACGAGTCTTATGACTGTTGGCGCGAAGAACATACATTCATCATCCGGATGCGCAGTAACAACCAGAGCTCTGACATCTGCGCAGGCTGTGTCTCTGCTCGACGAAACCTTCATTACGTGTTTCAACGACTTCACCAAAGTGCGCCGATGTCGATAGTAAAGGCATTTTATCCAAATCAAATAGGATAAAACTATGAAGACAGCCAGGTAAACACTCATTATTTTGACCGTTACCGTAAACAATCCGTGTAGGGACAAAAGTCTAACATGCAAATGGTTCCACGTGTAAATAAAAAACACATTATGCAGTCTGTCTGAGATATTTAAGGTTACCCATTCTTCAGAGGATGCTATAAGTATCACATCAAGTCAAACAAAGCAATAGCTGCCCACATTAGTCCCACAATAATGTATTTTACTCACTTGGAGTCCCTGTCGCTTTCTCCGTTCATTTGAGTTTAAATCAACATATTAGGAGAACAAAAATATAAATACGATACAGAATAATCTTCTGTCATATTTAAATAAATATGACCTGGAAAATGTGTAATAAAGTCATATAAATCAGGCGAAATGTGTGTATCTAAAAAGTGAAAATGACAAACACCAGGAACATTACCCTGTCGGAGGGGACTATTTAGCTGTCACACTGCCTCATCCTTGCAGGTATATAAAAATCCAAACTCATTTTTTAAAAGTACTTATCAAAAGAGTCATATAACAGCCGCTTACTTTTACACTCTGGAGGTTTTAGTCTTCTTTGTACATACACATTTATTGAGCAGTAAGAGTACTCTGTGTATTCAACCGAGTAGGGACAGTTTATTTTACCCTGTCAGGACATCGACCGACAAATGCGGCGCAGCCTTCAGTCTGCCTGGTCGTCCACAGCTCATAACCCGCGGATTTACAATCAACAATTTACACATAATTCTGCCCAGGGATACCTTTCTCTCCCATCGGTATATTTTCTAAATATGAGGTGAGTACAAATCGCTAACATGCACAAAAGCAACATGTCTAATTAGCACGCTATTTAAGCGCCCCGGTCTACGCTGAAAATCTGCCTTGCAAGATGGCGACGTGGTTGAGAATTCAAAGGTGAAATACAGGCTAAGTTAGCTAGCTAGCGATAACAACAACATCTTAAACGCCGTGTTACCACACTGAGGTGTTCAGGTAGCATACACTTTTAAGTTGACGTTTATTATTGTGCATGTTTTTGGTGCATTTCCGGAAAAGCTCTCTGTTGTGGAAATAGACCCATCCCCCAAGATAAGCTACAAATCCAATTGCGTTTATATGACAATATAAATATAAAGACAACAATAACAACACACAGCAGCAGTATTTCTCATTGCTAGGCTGTGCATGGGGCCATGAAGTTCGTCATGGCTGCTGGGTTTGCATAGGAATCATCAGAGAGACCACTGTAAATGCTTTCTGAAATGAACTTTATCAAGCTCTTCATCGGGAAACGACGTACGCTGACCAGAAGCAACGTTCATCTTTATAACATCAAATTGCATGCCTTAAACCACGTCGGAAAATACAATTAAAGACTGTTGACGACAGAGGAAGGGGAACACCCAGTATGTACTGTAGCCACAGTTTCGTTTATCTAACGTTACATTCATGCTCCATGTTAAAAGATATGGGACAGGGATACAGCTTAAACCGTATTTTGGTCCATTAAATGAGTCCCATCATGGATTTCTTTGCATTTTATCACAACAGCAGGGATACAATCTGAGAAACATGTTATGTATAGTCAGGTCACAAACCAGGGCTGCAACAGCTGATTCTGTTGTGAACATATTAATATTATCCTGCTTACTCAGTTGCTTTGAGTAATAATAAAAAAGATTCACGGATTTCATGTCTTTCTAAGCAGGGAGGTTTCTGTGACATGAGCTTGAACCCAGGAGGCCTGCTGTTTGTTCCTTCTTTTATTGGGAACACAGGAGCAAATGATGTGATGTTTGTAATGATTGGAACACAATTGGAGACGATTTCCAAAGGAACAAGACTGCATTTGAAAGATGACAAAATCCCCCCCAGCAACATTTTTTGTTTCCTGCTTCATTGACTGTCAGCCATACTGGTAAACATTTGGTCATCACCTCAGAGTACAACTCAAGTTCAGCATTTTTAAGCTTGGGTTTTGTTTCATTCAGCAATGTTATCAATTTTAGTAGAACATCAAGTAATTGATCAAATTCAACTCGGGGTAGTAGAGACTGTAGATACAAGTTAAATCCAGTTAAGAGAAATGGGACAGTAAAAGGAAAACAAAAAAATGAGGTTGTAATATTTTGAGGCAGCTGAAGTTCTGCTGCGTGCTCTTTTTCTTTTGTTGTTTCATTTGCTCCTTGTTGTAACAGTTTGCTTCAAGCTGATTTGTTCTCCCTTAGTTTTGGCTCAAAGCCAAAAGGTGCTGCTGAAAATGACAGCCTCATATACATTTAAGAACCAGATTGACGTAGGACACAACCTTTTGTTACTGCTTTTTTGTTTACAATAAGATACAATACAATGTTATGTCATTTAAATAGAAAATTGTCAGTTTAAAATGTATCTTTAGTTCAACGTAACAAAAACAGCAATTACATTTACCAGCTGCTCTCAATGCGACCCGTTAGTTTTTTCATAAGTGACTTTGTCAAGACACTGAAGATATTTTTAGTATCCATTCTGAAAATGTGAAAGTGGATAAAAAAATGTGGGACCCACCAAACTCTGTGGCCTGTGGACTGAAAAAATAAAATAACAGCTTCCCACCCTGGTTATGGTGGCAATGATTGTAGCTTTTCCAACCCTGAAGTTAGCATCATGTCTTGGCATGGTGGTGAAGCTGTAAATCTCAAAGACGCAGAATAAAAGTGATTGAGCCCGCAGAGCTCAGACTCGTGATGGCTCCCTGTGAAGAATGACATGAAGGACCCAAAAAAAAGAATCCAGTAATATTTGTAAGAAAACAAACATGCAGAGACTTTTCTGTGTGTGTTTAGTAGCATGTTTTTGTTACCCATAAATAATCATACCAAATACAAAGTGTATGGGTTTGTCAGCTGCAGAGTACTTAGATATCACATGTGTTTTCAAGTTGGTTTATTTGCAGAAGTTCATCAGAAGGTGTTGCGTGGTTCCTGGCTCTGTCCTGGGTCCTGTTCTTTGTACATTGCTTAATTTGATCCAGGCTATAACATGATATTAAGCAGCTAAAATACTTGCTTACGTGCTACTTTCCATCCAACTACTATGTTTTTTTAAATGCAATGTGGAGGACTGCTTTATTATTTTATTCGTTAACATTGGGATGTTATTCTGAAGGTATGGCAATAAGAGTGAAAAGTTAAAACCATAATCACTGCTTATTTGATTGGCTTGCATGACATGTAAAGTTAGAGAAGGCACCTTTTTTCCCAAGCTGCAGAGCAAACCTTTATTAAAAACAGGAATTTTTCCAATCAAAAAAATATTCTAACTATGAAATGACACACCCTACCAATCCCTTTAATAGGCAACAGATCGTTTGTAAGAAATGACATTGACATCTATCCGACTCTGTCAAGTTTCATGTGTAAAAAATGTGTTCATAATTCAGAATTTTTTTTCATTATTTTGAATTTACACATTGAATCATCAAAAAAATGTTATGATTAAGCTAACTTTTGTTCAAGCTCATCGTAAGCTAAAGTACTTCTAGATTTGACCATGGAAGTACATATTATTACATTTGCATTGTTTTTTTGTTGTTGTAGTTGTATCAGTTTTATTTGATTGAATTGTATTTTCTATTATGTCACTAAACTAGCATCTTGGTTGGTGATTCTTCAACATCCTGCAGTGCATTTTCATTCAAATGCAACTATTTTGAATAAGCATAATGCTGTCTAAATTGTTTATTAACATATAATGATTCTATGAATGTATGTGCTCATATGCTTATACTGAACCTATCTACAAAATGTTCATTGTAATAAAGTTTTTTCTTCTTCCAATTTTAGCATGATTAAGGAAAGATTAGATTAACTAAAAATACTCTGGTATGGTTGGAGAAGATCTGAATGTTTGATATACGGATGGAATTTGAAAAGGTCTGGCTCTGATAATGCAGCTGACTCAGAATAAGCCTGCTTTTTGCATGTTTGAGCTTTCTAATGTGACAGCAGCTCCACATGCATTTTAGAAAAATACAAGCTAATAACAAATGGTCAATAATCAAATCAAGTTAACTCAGCCATCCGTTTTTGAAGAACAGGCTGCTGTTCTTTCCGCCCACAGTAATATTGTTTTGGTGCTCTCCAGAGCTGCAGCTGCAAGTTGTTTTTTTATGTATGAGTTGTTCCAAGAGCATCCTTGCTCTTTTGGCTTTAAAGCCTTATATTAACGCCCCTGCAAGGTGAAGTAAGAGCTTAGAGTGGTGTATTTTGGACTTGATTCTAACCTTATTTTACCTGCACTGGCAACAGGAGGTGATGTTGGCAGGGCAGTGCTTTAGGCCTATACCTACCTACATGGAAACACAGTAATACTTGAGAAAAGTAATAAAAGGTGTCGCTCCCTCTTGTGTCTAGTGTTAATGTAATGCACACTGACTTGATAGCATATCATATGCTTAATAGACCACCCGTGATGGCTCCAGTTCTACACTTTTTGCCTGATGTTGCAGCAGCAGCTCTCTTAAAATGCAGTATATTTTGACCATTCTATCTAATATTGTCAATTTAACTTGGTATAAATTCATCTTAGTCGATTTTTAGAATATTTCTCACACATAAAGGTATTTAATAGGCTTCAATATATTCATCTTAATGTCTGAAATGTGACTTTAAAAAAATCAGTTTGGGGCAATCCCACGTACCCAGGCTTGCTGCAGCGGCCATGGTTTCGAGTATGACCTGTGGCCCTTTGCATGTCATCCCCTCTCTCTCCCCCGTTCTTGTCTGTCTTGAGCTGTTCTATCAAATAAAGGGAGAAATATTACCAAAAATATCTATTCTGTTTCTGTGCAGGTGGTTTGTGTCTCCGAACATGGTCTAGCTAAAATCTCTAATCCGTGAAGCAGCAGCAGCCCGCTAGCACTGAGCCAAGATGTCCAGTAGCTCGGGCTACCCCCCCAGCCAGGGGAGCTTCAGCAGCGAGCAGAGCCGGTACCCACCACATTCTGTCCAGTACACCTTCTCTGGCACGCGCCACCAACAGGTAAAACCTTCCTTCTGCATTGTTGTTTGAGCAGACTTTTGTTTTTTCAGCTTGGTTAGTTAAAACTTAAGGAGTATGTTTGACATTGCTATATATGTTCTCTTTTACAATCTGAGCTGCACGTTGGAGGAGTACTTTTACTTTTACTTTCATAAATGGTCTGCTAAGTCACTCAACATGCTCATGTGTGGTTAAGCAAGAGCCTAGCTAGCATTTGAAATAAGAAGGATGATTCTTCTTGGTGATTTGGGGCTCTGGTGAGACAGCCAAAAAGGGATGTTAGGTTCAAGCTAAGGTATGTGCGTGCTGTGAGTGAGTTGGGTTCAGACTTTAAATTCAGATTCAGGATTGCAAGTAAAATTTGAAGCTAAGGGGACTAACAATAGTTTATTTACTAAATCTATTAATGTGTTGTGGGGCAATCTCGACAGAAGTGAAATATTTGCGCAACAAGGCCTTTTGGCTGTACCCGCTGATTTCCCGCTTCATACAGAAAAAGAGCTAGAGGTGGTGGCGCCGCCTACCTTGCCATATTTGATGTGGCTTCAGCCCAAACTCTGCTGCAGCTGTAACAGCAATTTTTCTGCGTAGACAACCTCCGAGTGAAATCTATTTTTATGACTTACTTAGTTTAATGTTAAATTAAAATGTAATAAAATAAATCAATACTACTGCTAGTAAGTGTGATAAAATAGTTTAGATTTTCAGTTCAGTCATAATTATGCAGCTCTATAAAGTTTTTTTATAGTATTTCATTGTATTGTATCCCACTTTACTGTTGACTGTTGTGAATATTGGATAATGTTTGTTAGCTATTTTATCATACTTCTTAGAAGCTTACTTTCACAGAAAACTGTCAGCAGTACATTTCAGGGCATTTAGATTGTTTGCTTAAAACTGGGGAAAAACTGGAGTTTTCCTGTAACTGCATTTGCTTGTTCAGGTTTGTTAGGAGGTCACACTGTGCTGATAACATTTGTGTGTTCTTTACCCAATAGCTTTTTGATAAAAGCTTTGGAGTATTAAAAAGCTTTGAATCAATTTTCTTGACATTGACAAAATCCATTTTGTTGTGCCAGATAACAGCAGTGATACTGGTTCAATAATTTCAGTGTGCACTGACTGGTGAGATGTTTTAAAGAGGGGTGAAGTCTTTGTTCACTTCCGGGCAAGCGCTGGTTCCACAGTGTACTATCACATGTGTTTTTTATTCTTTCATCCTTCTGATATTGTGGTATTCTGTCCTTATTGGAAGCTACATGAGCCACTCCTCCTGTACCTGCTAATACATGTGTGAACCTTGTTATTTTAAAAGAGTGACATAAGAACAGTTGATTTGTTTTCAACATTTAACAATTAGACATTCAAATGCTGACATTGTGTCTATGTCTTATACCTAGAGCTTCATAAAATGTCCACTGAGTTCATTAGGGATTCTGCCTTAATCAGATTGAGTACAGCATAGAGCTTACAGGAAATGGGGTGGGTGAGAGGGAGGGTGACATGAAACAAAGATCCCTGGCCGGACTTGAACTGGCGACGTTGCAATTAAATTGTCAGTGCTTCAAACCCGTAGGCCACCAGGACACCCCTTAGACAGCTTTTAACATAGCCCAATACACAATCAGTGTAGTTACTTGTGCAAGTTGAGGGAAAAGGGATTTGACGTTAAAAATGATGCCAAGTCACAGTTGTGTAGACAGCTGTATTGATTAAAACTGAAGCGTATCTGCTGTGACTTTGCCTCTCTGTTGGCATGATTTGGCATCTTTGAAGTGCGTTGTTATAGTTGTACCAGTTGTTGTTTTCTGACCCCCCCCCGACCTTGATCAGATCACTTTTTAAAGTTTTGTGTGGTGTGTACGTCTTGCCTTCAGGATTTCACCGTCCCAGACTATCGGACTCACATGCAAGATCCTCAGGGTCGGAGAAGACCATCCTTATTGTCTGAATTCCACCCTGGAACTGAAAGGTAAGGGCTTCGCTCCATCCTACTGCCTGAATATCTGACAAAGGATAAGTACACCCTCATACGTGACATCCAGAGTAGAAGTTTTTAAATTATTTTAATATTAGGGTCTGTAATGCAGAGTTGTTTTTCCGTTTTCGCTCCCTAAGGGATGCTGTTCCCAGATCATACATCTCGACAACCAGATGTAGCTTCTGATGCGTCCGTAAATTTCTTGTTTACTTCTGTTCTTCAGGCCTCCAGAGAGACGCCATGGTTACGAACAGCAGTTTCACTCCATCTCAGCGCAGTCTGAGCATGAGGCCTTGGATTCTAAACGCCCTCGCATGGAGACTGTTGCTGAGTCCCACATCAGCCGCACCCCTCCCACAGCTGGGGGTATTGTCCTGCCCTTAACCCATTCAGTACAGGACAGTCTGAGAGCATCTGTGGAGGTAAAAAAGGTGGGCCCGGTTCCTCCTCTCTCCTTCTTCCAAATTTGGTTTCACATTTGTTTTCAGTTGATTTTGTCCTCTTTATGCCATCATGCTGGCGACAGCTGTGGCGAGAGGCATTAGAGTTTCAGGCTGTCCTTAAGGCCTTTCTTCCTTCCGTAGGTCTGTCGGTCCCATGCTTGTGAACGTGACATTTCACGAAAGTCTTGAGGGAATTCTTCAAACTTAGCACAAACATCCTCTTGGTCTCAAGGATGAACTGATTAGAATTTGATGGTCAAAGGTCAAGTTTATTGTGACCGAACAAAACATGTTTTTGCCCATTACTCAGGAATTGATGCTGTAATTATGACAAAATGTCACACAGATTTTTAATGGGACTCAACAACGAAGTTTTACCCACAAGGTCAAAGGGCAACTTCAATTCTTAACTCGGGAACAGAAGGGGAGATTGTGACCATATTACACTGTTGGGCGGGCTCTAAGTTGGTTTTGACACAAAGGTCAAAGGTCACTGTTACTTTAATAAAATAGGTTTTTAGCCATAGTTTAAGAACGAACTGGGCAATTCCAGATTTCACACGTGTCGACTGAGATGGCACAATGACTGGCTTTTATCTTTCCATCTCATCCATTCTGCCTTTTATTTATTGCCTCGTTCTGAATTTCGAGCATCATCAAAATCATGTGACTGCAAACAACGTATTAGAACGTGCCTAGCTAATCATGATCCTGTGAGTGAGTTTCACCTACAGCTCATAGAGAGCCGTAGAATCTAAAAATGGAGAAAACAAAAGCACCAGTTTTTGTATAGTTAAACTCTATATAAGAATCCAGCTTTACATTACAATCAAGTACATGTATTATAAATATTCACTGGAATTATACATATGTATCATCAATATAGTGAAAACCTCCATTTAGTCAACAAATACACTGTTTTATTTAGTTCCTTCCAAGCGGTAAACTGCAGCTTGACTGGTTGGCGGAGGCACCCACACTAATTCTAGTTTGACTACAAACTTAGTGAGGTGACACTTCTGACTTTTACTTATTCTATACGTGTGTACTATTCAAATACTTCACCATGGATGACAGTACTTGTGAACTAATGAAAAATATCTTACGACTTCTCCTATGATTTATAATGTCAGTATGTGTTGTATACTATTTGGAAATCCCCACCAAAATGTTGGACCTTTTATGACACTGCCTTACTGGTGGTTTTTGACGTTTTTCAGACAATGATTGCTTGGACCGGACAGAATCATTCTTTTGTAAAGTTCTTGTACACATCTACAGTTTTTAACAAGCTGAATTAACCTTTTTGTTTTCATCAGGAGTCTCAGTACAACGTCAAAGTGGAGTCCCCGTCCCCTGGTGGACCTACACTACACATGGGAGATGAGCAGGACAGTTCTCCTTCCAAACTATCCAAGGAGGAGCTGATTCAGAGTATGGACCGTGTAGACAGAGAGATTGCTAAAGTGGAGCAGCAGATTTTCAAGCTGAAGAAAAAGCAGGTTAGTTATTTAGTGAAACCTTTGTCTCTGAACATGTATCAAACACAATGGATGTTGTGCAAGAAAACTTGGCACAAGAAACAATTTCACTTGCTATTATAATTAAGCAAACCCACGAGAGGCTGAAGTGATGGTAATTTTAGAGCTGCAATGAGGAGTAGTTGTAAACCACAAAAGCAGAAGTTGTAAAGGTCTTGAAGTTGAAAGAACAGGTTTGACAAGACTGTATCTGAAAGGGATTTTACTTGCATTACCATGGATGTGTTCAGGTATCTGTTGTGATTTCAATAGTTTATTTATTATTGACAATCCAGCCACAATTTGAATAGTAGTATTGTAAAGGGAATAAGATAATAAGAGACTGAAATGTTCAGTTGAAGTGACAAATGTAACAAGTTGTTGTCATCTCAGTCAGATTAATTTGTAGCTGGGGCATAATCTAGCTTTGATTGTTTTCCAGCAGACCTCTTTCCCTCCTCAAGAGACTTGGTGTTCACTCTCTCTGGAGTTAATGTTAGCAGGCTCTGCTCAATGTTAGTGAGGAGGCTGCTAATCCCTGCAGCCTCGCTGGTCTTCTTGGTGTGGAGTTTTAAGGCTCTTATACACTCGCCGTTCCCGACCTGTAGCGCGACAATGTGACGTCACGGGAGCGCCGTAACTATTTATACTTGCGGTGGTGGGCGCAACACTAGTTGCAGTCTTCTCCTGAACAGAGGTGTTGCAACTGAGGGAAGGCTACCAACTTAGCTATTTCTACGCACTAGAAAAAGAAGAAAAAGGTAAACAGTGGCAGACCTCTTTTTTGATTTTCCAAATCGGTCGGGAGGTTCTTCCAAATTTTCCAGCATATGGCCTCCTCTTTTCCAACATTGCCATGAATTCTGGCACCAGTGTGTTCCTTCATTGAAGGATCGTACAGATGCCTGTAGAGGCGCACTTGCTTGGAAAGCTTGCCCTCGAACTCGTCCATCTTCCTGTTTCCGCTTTCGCGCGCTCAACTGGAAAGAAAAAGAGTGGTGCGCGACTGGGCCTAAATCCTGGCGCGCCAGTGAGATCTACGTCATTTTGACGTCACATTGTTGCGCAACAGGTTGGGAACGGTGAGTGTATAAGAGCCTTTAATCAGCGCACAGAGCTCTAGGTTGCAATCGTCTGCACCAACAGTGTCTGAGGCAATTCACCTGAGCTATAAGATGCTTCTATGGCTCAACAAACTTGTGTCCATCGTCTACTGTATTTCTTTTCTTAATAAGATAATTCAAAAACTGAATTTCTAGAGCTACAGGCTTATTTTTTTTCATCTATCTTGATTTGCTTGTTTTTAATCTTGTTTGTGGCCCTTTTTCTCCTGCTATCTTTTTTGGAATCCCGTCTCATTAGATAGGAATGTAAGCTGAGCTTTACTGGGAGAGAATTCTTCTCAGATTTTCAGTTTGTGTTTTCCCAAGATTGTCAGGGATTCATTTGTTTATTTGAGGTATTTCAGGAACTCATAATCTTGTCCCTGTAACCTGGTAGTTTACATAACCTTTAACTTGTAAACATTGACCTAGCAAACACTCACCAGTTCAGCTTATCTGCCTGCATCAGCATTGGCCTCAAAGGCAGACCCCTTCAGTTCTGTTAAAAAAAAGTTATACTGGAACAAGCCTGAAGAGAATCATCTGATAATGCCTGCATGGGCCTCAGATATCTCCTCAGAGATCAGGTCAACACAGTGTAGCTGCATCTATGTTTTCCACCACATATTTCATATGAAAACAAATACAGGTAAAACCATACAAAATGTTTACTTGGGTCATGTATAAAAGGAAGCCCCCCCCATAATTTTCTGTATGTGTTTTGTGTGTGCTATTGGTCGTAATGTTTTGTGTTGGTGTTGTCTCTTAGCAACAACTGGAGGAAGAAGCGGCAAAGCCAGTGGAGCCAGAAAAGCCAGTGACCCCTCCCCCAGTGGAGCACAAGCACCGCAGCATAGTCCAGATCATCTACGACGAGAACAGGGTTAGTGGTCTGCTGCAAACACCAAGACACAGCAACAACAAGCGTCGGATCTCCTCAGTTCTCCCTAGTCATTTTGTTTGTTTCTAAACAATTTCAGCTATTCTATCTATCATCTCTGTGAATCCTCAAAGCTGGAAGAAGTTACCTTTGTTTTTTCAACAGGCCAAGTTAACCCGCTTAGATTATGTGAAGCCTAGCTAAACTGAGAACACCAGCGCGTGGCAAACACAGCCAACTAGTGACAGGGGTTACTTAAAGGAAGCTATTTAATGCTAAACTGATGTGTCTTTATATGTGTCTGTGTTCCGCTCTCAGTACTTTTGTAGTTTCTAACAGAATCTCTGGTTTGGAGTTTAGGTTCACTCTTATGTGCCTGTTCGTACATTCAAATATCAGCCTTATTTTACTCTTTACTGACGGCTTTCTGCCGTATCTGAGCTGTGTTAAGTTACTACTGATGCAAGCTGAACGTTTCTTGCTGCTGCAGCTGCTTTTTTGAGTGGTCTGAGTGAGCTTTTATGGTGGAGCAGCTATGGGAAATGCAATGTTTTTGTCAGAGTTAGCAGAACTCTGCTAATGCACGGTGCGGTTCCTCAATAAGAAAGGAGTGTGCGCGGCAAGATATGGCTGGAATGTTGATCCCCACCCCTGTCGAAAAACAGCATTTGGCATAGCAATGTTTTAATTTTCTGAAATAATATTCAAGCGTGTCTGCTGTTGAAGTACGATGGAATGTCTCGTGGTTTTGTAGGGTTAGAAAGTAATGTTTGTACTGCATGGTAATTTTGTCATATTTCTAAATTTACTTGTTTAATTTTGTTTAAAAATTAATTAAGAATACAGTGCATTAAATCCAAAGTCAAGGGCAGAGGCAGACCTCATTATCTGTGTTCCAGCTGAAACACAGGGAAGTGAGTGTGTGTTTGTGGAGGTCACTGTAGTTCATGTCCGTCAGACAATGTTGTGGTAGGAGAGTGCTGAGACACGCCCTCCTTCTCAGTCAGCCATTAACCCTTTAGGCTGCAAAGCTGCTCCAGTGCTGTGCACAGTTAGCTGACAGTCTGCACTGATCCAGGAAAACTGTTGTTGCTAACCCTATTGATTATACTGCAGGGGGAACATTCTTAATCCCTGTATCATTCGTTCTTTTCATATTCAATTGAGATTCCAAAATCGAAAAATGAAAACGGTTTGTTATTTCGATTATTATTACTGATACCAAAAAACAAATAACGGTTCATTTTTTGTACTTTAGATTTATTGCTCAGATCAAACATAGGAAATGAAATAACGGGCCACAGATAGATTTTGATTTTGATATTTAATTTTTCGCTTTGTGTGAACCGGAAGTTATTGTCTTCTTCGTGTGTTGCACTTGGCAGTTTGCCGCAGTTTCGCAAAGCCTGAAAAAATTCAAAAAATGCAGTGATTGTACTCTGTATTTAAGGACTTATTTGAAACTATAAGGACTTATTAAGGACTTATTTGAAACTGGCAAGACACATGTAGATATTTCTGCTACGCTGCAGCTGATGGGTATCCAGCAATGTCTTGACAGTCACCTGTTTAGTTCCTCTGAACAATCAGAATCATAATCAGAATCAGACATACTTTAATAATCCCAGGGGGAAATTACTTTCGTTACATGCTCCAAATTGAAATAGACATACATATATTAAGAATATATATAGTATAATTTAAAGTCACACTTTCAAATGTGCAAAAAAGTGGAAAGTGGTCGCAGGCTTCCTCTTCACCAGAGGCACATAGCAGGATGTTGGGTATGCAGAGTGAGGGATGTACGACAACGATGATGACGTGCAGGATCTCTCTTGGTAGATGATATGGACAGAGTCCAACGGCCACCAGTTCAGCACCCGGGCCCGAGAGCTGTTTGCTCCCGGTGCAACCCCGGTCCGCCCGGACGGTGTGTAAGCGACATATACGCTCCGGTCCGTAATGTCCCTGTGCAGCCATGCCCCAGCAAAACACACCAGACTCCTGGTACTCTGCGTGGTTGCACGTCAATGCCGTCAGTTTGTACATTCCGTTGCTAGGAGACCGCACATCCACCATAACAAGAGAGGGGAGACTCGGCTTCAATCTTATCTTTCTCCATAAATCCGTCCCGTCTCGACCCTCCTCTCTTCCTCGACGTTGCTTCCCTCCTCTGCATCCCCGGTGTGTTTTCTCCAGAGTTCAGCTGGTAAATCAGCTGCTCTGTCCACTATACCGACCGGCATTAGTGCGATCAGCTGTTCTCCGGAGTAAACAACGGCAGCGTGTCCCGGTGGAAGCAGCATTAAAACACGAAAATGAACACAAAAACTCTCTTAAACACCATCTTTGGAGAGGACAGGACTTCATAGAGTTACAGTGAAAAAATAAGAACGAACAAAAATAGAATAAAAGTTAAGAAGTTAAAGAAAGCAGGCTGGAGTAACGTAACAGGCAGCATGCAGCTTTTCGCACACGTGCCAGGAAAATGAAGATTAAAGATGAATGAAAAGATGAAACTCTCCATGATTGATGGTCCGTGTATGTTTTGGTCATTGGATTTTCTTTCAGAAACGGATATTAAAAACAGAAAACGAGTGCTTATTTGATTTTCGTTTTAAAATACAAAAATTAAAATTGAAATACAAGGCGTTTTCTTTTTCATGGTCAGAAAGGGATGAGCGAACTTAAAAAATTATTCGATTTTCATTTTCTATTTCATATAACAAAAATAAAATCACTAGAAAACAGAAACAGAAAAAGGCCTGTTTTTTCATATTCTGAGACCGGATGTTGTCATTTACAGGACGGTGCTGTGTAGAAGAAACAGTAGGCTAGTAGACTGCGGTCAATCCAGCCGTGAGTCCGATCTCCGTGGTCAAATCAGCCGCACCTAAATGTCCAGTGTACAAGTATTCTCAGCATTATGGTAAATGCGGAGAAACAGCGTATATAGGTTTTCAAATAAAGGTATTTAGAACAGTAAGCTATAATTAAAATATGTTACATTAAAGTGTTTTATGGCCCTGATGAATAAAAAACACTTTATATCAAGTATCTTTACTGCACCAGTGTGGAGAAATGCCAAAATAAAGTCTCATATTTATGCCTCCAGAGATTGCATATTTGACCATATTTGAGGTACTGTAAAAACATATTGCTCAGTGATTCCTGGCTACTGATGGTGTATTTGACTTTACACATATGAGACTACAAACATACTTAATATCAAGCATTTTTACTGTACCAATTTGGAGAAATTGAAGAATAAAAGTCCCATATTTATACTTCCAGATTCCATATTTTCTTATATTTGAGCTACTGTAAAAAAAACTGTATGTGGAACCACCTGCAACAGCTGTCACACTGAATAATATAAAAATAATATGTGAGGAAGAGACAGTAGGTACAATGGTGTTTTGAAGTTAAAACTAATTCTTTTTCCTTTACCTACAAATGGACACAGCAGAGCAGCAAAATAAGAAGAATGTGGACTGGCATTGCATTTTGTGTGAAAAGTAAACAAATTAGAATTGTGTAGGATTTTGTGTTTAGTGTTTATATTATCAAGATGTTATTAAACATTAGTGTGAAATTTTGTCATGATTACTGCAGCATTATTGAAGTATAATGAAAATGCTTCACCCATAGCCTGGAAATATTGAGCAATATGTTTTTACAGTAGCTCAAAAATATAAGAAAATATGGAATCTGGAAGTATAAATATGGGACTTTTATTCTTCAATTTCTCCAAATTGGTACAGTAAAAATGCTTGATATTAAGTATGTTTGTAGTCTCATATGTGTAAAAGTCAAATACACCATCAGTAGCCAGGAAACACTGAGCAATATGTTTTTACAGTACCTCAAATATGGTCAAATATGCAATCTCTGGAGGCATAAATATGAGACTTTTATTTTGGCATTTCTCCACACTGGTGCAGTAAAGATACTTGATATAAAGTTTTTTTTTATTCATCAGGGGCACAAGACTTTAATGTAACATATTTTAATTATAGCTTACTGTTCTAAATACCTTTATTTTGAAAACCGGAAGTAAATACGCTGTTTCTCCGCATTTACCATAATGCTGAGAATACTTGTACACTCTAAATTTAAGTGCGGCTGATTTGACCACGGAGATCGGACTCACGGCTGGATTGACCGCAGTCTACTAGCCTACTGTTTCTTCTCCACAGCACCGTCCTGTAAATGACAACATCCGGTCTCAGAATATGAAACAACAGGCCTTTTTCTGTTTCTGTTTTCTAGTGATTTTATTTTTTGTTATATGAAATAGAAAATGAAAATCGAATAATTTTTTTAATTTCGCTCATCCCTTTCTGACAATGAAAAAGAAAACGCCTTGTATTTCAATTTTAATTTTTGTATTTTAAAACGAAAATCAAATAAGCACTGTTTTCTGTTTTTTAATACCCGTTTCTGAAAGGAAAATCCAATGACCAAAACATACACGGACCATTGATCCTCAGATTTGAAGGCTAACATTAGTTAAACTGAAGAAGTGAATCAAGCTAGCACAATAACTTCCGGTGCATACAAAGCGAAAAAATTAAATATCAAAATCGATCCATGGCCCATTATTTCATTTCCTATTTTTGATCTGAGCAATAAATCTAAAGTACAAAAAATGAACCGTTATTTGTTTTCTGGTATCAGATTCATAAACGAATAAGGAAATAACAAACCGTTTTTCATTTTTCGATTTTGGAATCTCAATTGAATATGAAAAAAACAAATGATACACGGATTATTCTTTCTTCCATTTTTTTATTTCTCTTTTTCTCTTATATTGTGTAGCTCCCCTTTCAGGCAGGTGCAGCTGCTTACTTTTGCTTACAACTGCAGAAGCTACTTAAAGATACTTAAAGAGCAAATTAAATGCATCTAAAAATGTCTTTAGGGCACGACACAAATATGCCTGCTGAGGCGACTGCACATGGTCAACCACACACTTCTCTTTGCTTTTGGTTGAGGCAGCTACTTTGCTGGTCAAAGTCAAAGTTGAACTCCATGTGAAGAGAATGCGAATTTGTGCATGAATGCCTGTGCCCTCATTCAGGACTTAAGGTTGTTATTGAATTTTATGGTTTTCCTGAATTGTTGTCTTTTTATACATGTTACAAATCACACCTTCAATCAGTAACTTCATTGAAAAATTCCAACGGCTCTTAAAATGGTCAGATGTTTTAGTGTTGCATTTATGGCCACGTTTAGCTACTTTTTAAAATCTAAGTTTCCATGCTGTAGCCACAAACAATAACACATCTATAACCCACACATAGTATTGAACACCTGATGGGAAGTTTTTCTAGGTGAAATGCTCAACTTGCTGTTTCTCTTTATGTTTTGTAGACAATAGTCTACTAAGATATGAACTCTTGTTCTTTTTTTTTTTCTAGAAAAAAGCTGAAGAGGCCCATAAAATACTGGAAGGTCTTGGTCCTAAGGTTGAGCTGGTATGTCATTTAATGGTTTGTTAATATATTTTGCTCTTGCCTGAGCTTTGAGGAATAGGTAATGCTTAGCTCAGTGGCAAGTTAGATATTACTGCTTGCCTAGCAGCTAATAATTAATCCACTGCCTGTTCCTGGTCTGCTTTCTCCCTTTTTAGCCCCTGTACAACCAGCCATCAGACACAAAGGTCTACCATGACAACATCAAGACGTGAGTATCTACATTAGTTCCATAGATTAATTTCATAAACATCTGTCAGCCGTGCATAGTGCAAGAACATTGTAGCAGATGATGCTCATCAGACTAACAGGATAGGAACCATCTCAGCTGTTGCAAAGTGTTGCAGGTAATGCTGACCTCAGCAAGATAAAAGCAGCTGATAATTCTGTCTAATCTGATTGCTGAGTCATCCGTTTGAGTTGCCCTACTGACACCAAGGAGAGTGATTGAGAAAGGAAGTGAAAGAACTTGTGTCTGCATTAGGTGTGTTTAAAGCAGAGATGTGTCGGGGGTTGAAGGCCAGGCCGTCTAGGAACAAACTCTTATCAGTGTGTACCATGAATGCAGCCCATCTGTCTCAGTCCTTTATCAGGACGGGGACCACCTCTGTGTGAATCTGCTGTACAGGCCACACTCTCAGGGTCAGCTCTCTCACTATTCTCTCCCCACAGACACAATCAAGTGTAAACAGAAGAGTTCCCAGTAATTTGTACGTGCCACAGTGAAAATAAACAATGATATGTCCGTGAGGTTTTTGATAGGGTGATCGAAGCTATATCAAGCTCTGTCACTCAAAGAACTATTGCAAATGTACACTTGAACAAGCTAACAAGCAAGTAGGGCATTACTTTTTTTTATGTGTTGTGCAACTTTTTAATGCGTTCTCGTGAGTACCACAATCATTTTGTCATTGAACATATTAATATTTTAATGTCACTGAATAATGGCTGTTTTCTTTTAGCAATCAAGTCATGAGGAAGAAGCTGATTTTGTTTTTCAAGAGGAGGAATCACGCTCGTAAACAAAGGGTAAGTGTCCCCGCTGTTAGGAAAGCATGGTGGAAGTTCCAGGTATTTGTGTCAGTGCTCTGGACACCACATTAGTGGCGCCACCCATTTCCATAGTCAGTGTAACAGTCATTTGCACTCAGATGACCGGGGAAATATTATTTGGGACCGTTAAAGCTTTTGATATATGGGATCTCCTGTTTTATTTTTACATGAATATTTTTGCTTTCTTAAAATGCAGAAGGCAGACATGAGATAGTGATTTAGTCTTAGATGCTCACGGAGAGGACACGGTTTTATTATTACCCATTAAAAATGGAACTACTAGTACTGCATACTTTTGTTTACTTTTGTTAAGCTATTTCATTCAAAACCACAAATGTCAACTTAATGCTGGTGCTACAGGGACAGTTACCAAATCAACAAAGTCAGTCAGCTATTCTCTGCGGACTATTAATATATATAAAATTGAATGGCAATCCATCCAAGAGTTGGGAGATATTTCAGTCTCAGCCAAAGTGGTGAACTGACCGACCGACACTGCCATCCCTAAAGCCACGTTGCTAGCATGGCTAATAAAAATAATGCACTGATGTATTTACAGTACAGGAAACGCCCTGATTTCCCCTGTTTGTTGAAAAGTATTGTGTGGGCCAAGAACTGCTTTAATGTGCAGTATAATAATAAATATTGTCACATCAAACAACAGATCTGAGAAATACGCTGGCTAAACAACCGTCTCTCTGTCTTTCTTATCAGTAACCAGTGATTTACATATTTCAGAATCACCCCATGTTGAAACACTTGGCTCTTTCTTTTTATTGCAATAGCTCAGTGAGTCCTACCTTTCTCTGGCTGTTCCATGTCAGGGTCAGACAAACCTTTTGGACAATGGTGGAGAGCACATGGCCTCATGCCAAGAGGAAGGTGAATTGTTTGTCGCTTGCTGCAGAGTGGAAATTAGACTGTATTGTCCTCCCAGTACAGGAGTCTTTCCATATCTTCACTCAACATTTGAACTCTTACACCCCAGGAAATTAGTTTGGTTTTTGTTTTTTGGTGCCAGATAGTTTTTGCCATTTCTCCTCTAGAAATACAATTTACCAGACCAAATAAATAAATCTGATTAAATGCATATTGAGCTGATAATTGATAATAAGCTATTTTTAAGTAGGCTAGTTTCATCAGAACAAACTGTGCCTGGATCAGGACACAGAATTAGGCAAGATTAAATACACCCACAACAAACACAGCCACAGCATATACTCTCTCAACTCTGCTCTCACTTAGTTTCTGCAGAATGTCTTCAAATGGATTTACATTTGTTTTCATGTTCGTTTTTTAAAGATAAATTGCCACACTGATTTTACTGAGAGGTGTACATATTTACAAAATTAAGCATGAATTGATACTTTCATGTTCAGCTAGGTAGTCTGATGGTTAGATTTGAGTTATTCTGTTTCCATTATTAGCATCTTCTTTTTCTCTTCCACACAGCGACCTAGCAACAGATCACATCTACTGCACCTACAACACACTGAGCTCTATTTGTTGCTTCATCAGAAACCTGAGAATTTCTTGACCATTGCACATGTGGTATCTGAACTGTGCTCATTTGGGATCAGTTGTACTTTTTCAGGACACTATGTATGAGACTTTTTTATTTTAAATAACCTATCCTGGAGTTGCATAGCAACAGAATATCTCAATGTGCTGTTAATTTGTATTCAGTCAGTGGTTTAAGAATACAGTGTAGATGTTATTTGGAAATGTGAAAATATCAGCTCCCTCATAATATCTGATATATGTATTCCATGTGGATCTTCTGGCTCATTGCATTGGCATTAAGTTCTTTTGGCATTACTGTAGTGATGGACACCCACTCATGATGTAGCATTTTCCATGCTGTGTACACAGGAACAGAAGATCTGCCAGCGCTATGACCAGTTGATGGAAGCGTGGGAGAAGAAGGTGGAGCGAATGGAGAACAACCCCAGACGCAAAGCCAAGGAGAGCAGGACACGGGAGTACTATGAAAGGCAGTTCCCTGAGATCCGCAAGCAAAGAGAGCAACAGGAGCGCTTCCAGAGGTAATGGTCTCTACCAGTGACTGTTTATCAAAAGGGGATCACATAGAAAAGCAAAAATGTGTGTGATTTGGTTAAAGAGGTAGTTTACTTTCTGAGGGAAGGTCTAAAGTCTTAGCGTGCCATAGTGCATATTAATTTACACTTGAAAGGTTGGACTGCTACTAATGATTAGTATTTATTTTGATGATTTGATGATTATGTTCTACATAAAATGGTGGGAAATGCTCATCGCCATTTCTGTGAGCCCAAATTCATTCAATATTGAAAATGCCCAATTTTATTTACCAACCGTAACACAAATCTAGCTTGTTGATTTGCGTGTCACATTATGTTAAATGACTTGTCCACTTTCTAGTTTGCCAAGATACACCGATCATCCATAACATTATGACCTGACAGGTGAAGTGAATAACACTGATTATCTGGTTATCCTGGCACCTGTCAGTCGGTAGGATATATTAGGCAGCAAGTGAATATTTTGTCCTCAAAATTGATGTATTAGAAGCAGGAAAAATGGGCAGCGTGAGGATTGGAGCGACTTTGACAAGAGCCACATTGTGATGGCTAGACGACTGGATCAGAGCTTCTCCAAAACTGCAGCTCTTGTGGGGTGTTCCCGGTCTGCAGTGGTCAGTACCTATCATCAAGAGTAGTCCAAGGAAGGAAAATTGGTGAACCGGTCATGGGGGGCCAAGGCTCATTGATGCGCTTGGGGAGCGAAGGCTTCCCTGTGTGGTCCGATCAAACAGACGAACTTCTGTAGCTCAAACTGCTGAAACAGTTAATGCTGGTTCTGATAGAAAGGTGTAAGAACACACAGTGCATCAGAATTACCTACCCCACCTTTATTGTTGCATTTAAATTTCCCACCACTGTTTCTGTTTTACACTGGTAACAGAGTAGATTTTTCTCTCTGGGAGTAGAAATGGAAAAATGGAAGCCTAAGGTAGTATATGATCTTGTATTTCATTCAGCAGTGGCCTTCTTTGCTTGCACTAGATTGGTCACATCACTTCAAATTGCAAAGCACAGGACTAAAGTAAACACATTTAGTTTAAAACAGTGAAGGATCTGCTGTATGTGAGGAGGTGATCAAAGATTGAGAGACTAGAGTGAAACCATATTCACTCTAGTAATCTTTTGCTGCATTAATAATGTTGACAAGAACTGTAGCTGCACCCAGACATTAAAAATATCTCCTCCATTTTAAAGATATCTGTCTGTATCACCTAACTGGAGGACACTAGGTGGTGTGTGGTGGCCTACTTTGGGCAGAGACACACAATGTCTGAGTGCCTCTGGTAAGGGTGGGAGACAGGGTGAGGGTCCAGCGTCTGGTTGTTCTTGGAACTGAAGCTTCATGCTTTCATTAAAATCTCCAAGTAAGACTTCGTATGTCAACACTGTTTATGCAGACTGCTAGACTGTGAAGGAAGAAACAAGTAATAACTGGCCAGAGACACTATTTTATAATAATGGCTACATTGATTATGTTTGTTAACAGAGCTTTGAAAAAAATAAAAAATGAAATCCTGTCACTAATATTGACTCCAGTTTTGGTTGGGAAAAAAAACAATTGTGAATAAGAAAGTTTAGGAATTTGATTTTTTTCTGAAAAGAATGCAACCTAACGTACTCTCTTTACACGGGAGACAAGTTTACAGAGACATTTGAAAATAAATGTGTAACATTTGTAACACCATGTCTGTTTATTTCTACAGGGTTGGACAAAGAGGGACGGGCCTGTCTGCAACAATTGCAAGAAGCGAGCATGAGATTTCTGAAATCATAGATGGCCTTTCTGAGCAGGAGGTGGGTACTATTTGAATGCATTTTAAATATATTACAGTGTAGGTGTTGAAACTACATAGCTAGGTGACAACAGTCCAAATATATGTGTTTGGTTTTTTTTTAAGAGGAAGAGATCTGTCGCATTTTACCAAACTACAACGTCCTACATATAATTTACATAAGACACAAAGGCAAGGAGCAGAAAGAAGGTTTATTAAACAAGGGAGACTGTTCTGTAATTAAATAACTGTGACCACTTACCCTGTCTTTCCACAGAACAATGAGAAACAGATGAGACAGCTGTCAGTCATCCCTCCCATGATGTACGACTCTGAGCAGAGGCGAGTGAAGTTTATCAACATGAACGGCCTAATGGATGACCCAATGAAGGTGTACAAAGCCCGGCAGTTCATGAATGTTTGGACCGAACATGAAAAGGAGATCTTTAAGGAGAAGTGAGTTTTTGTTTTGTTGTTGTCACAAGATGTCTGGGTCACCGTGTGTCCCTGTAAGTCCGTCATGCAGATGTGATTTATAGTCCTTAATGCCACCTTGGACTTGATATATTCTTGGTTTTTGCACATGAATAATGACTGGCATCTCTTTCCAGGTTTGTCCAACACCCCAAGAACTTTGGCCTGATTGCCTCTTATCTAGAGAGAAAGGTAAACTACTACTTGTATTTTATAAATTAATAATAAATAACTGGACAGTCAGACAGCAACGTCAGAAACACAAGAGACTATTCTGATTCAAGACCATAAAGCGCTATGAGATCAGTTTTCATTGTAAAACATAAACTTTAAATTACAATGTTGTAATTGAGTCCTACAGGATGTAATGCAGTGATTATTTAAGCATTTGTTTTAAGACCCTTTACAACAATGAATCCTGGTCTTTTGTGTACAAGATAGAGAAGTGTTGTTTTGTTGAACAGAAATATTAAAAACTCTGCATTTTGTGGGATCACATAATCTTTCATCCATTGTACATACATATCCACTCCAACTTTTGCATTTTATATTGTCATGTGTACATAATAACGTGTCATTTCTTGTTTCAGTGTGTTGCTGACTGTGTCCTTTACTACTACTTGACCAAAAAGAACCACAACTACAAGACGCTGGTGAGGCGAAACTATGGAAGACGGAGAGGAAGGAACCAGGTAAACCTGAGACTTTATTAAGTATCTGTTTGTTCCCACTGTGGTTAACAAGCTGCTGATTTCTTGACTCATAAGTTCAATTTGAGTTTAAATTAAGAAGAGCAGTGCTTCACCTGTGTGTCTAACTCTGTCAGGTGGCTGTAAGGCGTGATTGTTTCACATGCTGAGTTGGCAGCATTGGGTTTGTCTGACTCGTTTGCCTCGCCAGTGCTTCATGCTTAATGTCTCCTCGTCAGATTGACGGCTCATTTTGTGTGTGGAAGATATATAGCGTGTCTACAACATATATCACACTGTATGTCGCACATGTGCCACACCTCTCTCTGGTATAAGGTGCCATGTATTTGGCCCCTACATTGCTGGTGCTATTAATGGGTCAGAGCAAAACAGGAAGTAGAGTGGGCGCTCCCCACTTTTTCTTTAATCCTGAGAAAGCAACCCTTGGATTATTGTGATATGACTTGTTTGCAGCGTTATCTCTAAAATATACAATATGTATACTTTATCAAATACAGTCAAATAAAGATTAAATAGAGTATGTAATTATACAAATTTGCACACATTCTGGAAAATATGTTTGTTATATGGTAAAACTAAAAACGTCTCATGAAAGTCTCAAGTCTCAAGCCCGATGAAAGTTGAACCAAGTCTGCCAATGTACAGCTGAGCCTGATGACCTGCAGAAGCCACACTTTTTATAGAGGATAAACTAGCAGCAAATTAAGAAACACCATTGCCCGCTAGCATTTATCAAATGTAATAAATAGTTCTATTTAATTCTCACTTTTGTCAGGTGCAAAGTCACAGAACGCAGCCTTGGAAGTGGCTTGCCAGCAAGTAAGACATAGACAGACTAAAAGATGCACTGCCCGGCTTTTAGCAAGACAGACAGACCGGATTGCTGTTCTCGCTGTTCACTCATGGTCTTTTTTTCTCTCTTTTCGTGACTAGAAGAATAGTTTCGCTGCATCCTCTCATTGAAGTTGTAACATTGTGGGGCCCTATGCAACTTGTGTAGTGAGCTTATAGGGCTGCTTGGCTCTGCATGTCGTACATTAATAATGATACAATTGTGGTGTGCACTGTAACAGTAGTTAATGATCTAACAATGTTGTATCGTCAAAATGCCTGCCTGCGTGCGTGCGTGCGTGCGTGCGTGTGTGTGTGTGTGTTAGGGTATGGGAAAACACTATTTACTGTGTTCTGATCCTGTAGAATTAGATTACACAGAGGAGACAAAAGGTCAGGCTAGGGTAACAGTCAGAACATATGAAAACGCATACACACACTCCCAATTGGCAAATTATGTAAATGTTTGTGTGTATTGTGGCAATAGGATTTTCTTTCTTTTTAATTTTTAAATATGTAGTAGTACAACAAATGTCAAAGAAAATGGAGCATACACAAGCCCTTTCAGCACTGTCACAACACAGTTTCACAAAAATCAAAAGCCAAATGATGCAGTCACAATTCATATTTTTATAATAACTTAAAAGAAGAAATTTTGAGACGTGTATCAAGCATAGAGACAAACTGGATCTGCCTCTTTCTTTAAAGCCTTAGTGTGCAATCACTGTCAAAGCTGGAATGTCATCTTTGTAGATGCCAGAGTGAAAACTACAAAGGGACAAATGTAGGGATATGATGTTGTGCACAGATTCAGTTCAGAGCTTTATGTAATTTTTGTCGCGCACCACCAAAAAGATGCACCTTCTTGCAACCCTAGTGGCATTAAATATTAATTCTACTCATTCTGGTGGATATTTTCTCCTTAGTGTGCTTTTCACTACTTCACTGATGCCACAGTCCTTGTACAGGACATTCTGTCTCTGTGTCGAGTACATCTGCTGTGTAACACAGTGGGTTGATTGTAGACTGTTTCTGTACATAGGAGGAGTTGGAGGGTGCAAGAGTTCATGTTTACATCTTGAACACAAAGATGGTTCTTCTCACTTCAGTAAGTGACTGGTACAATTACTACATGGTTAATTCACCTCTAGTTGGCCTGTTAATTTATAGTATTCATACTATGGACCCACCAGGAGAGAGGACTTGTCCATTTCTGTGACAAAGAGAGAGAAAATGTCTTTTTGTTTTGACAGCTTGTGAGCTTATGATAGTGGATTGAGGAAATGCTATCTCTGCCTTCCTACAATATTGTTTTTAAACTTGGGGGGGATTTGAACACATGAAAACATTTTTGTTTTTGGGTTGTCACTTCAATGTTAAAGTGTGTATGGTCTCTATCATCGTCTTGATTCAGGTCAGTTGCTGAAATTGTTCCAGTGCTTTTTCAAACTATTGTGGTTGTTTAGAATTAGGAGTAATGCACATCAGGATGTAGTGGATTTCCAAGCTACTGGTGTGACTTAACAACTGCAGTTTGAGTGAGTAGAGTGAGTCATTAGAGAAGGAAGGAAGAGGACAGAGTGAGCAAAAGCAAGAGCAGTGGAATGTAGGGCGAGTGAGTGAAACTGAGTGAAAAAACCTTCAGCGAGACAGAGTCAGCGCTGGCAGCCTATCCGCTGAGTGTGTGCTGTTGTTTTTTTTTTTTTCATTTTCCATTTCCTCTTTCTTCTGTTCCTCTGAGAGAGAGAGACAGAGAAAGCCACCCCTCTCTGAAAGAGATGAGTTGGTACAGCCCAGCCATCTGACAGGCCCAAAAAACTCACTGTGCTGCTGTGAGTGCCAATCAAAGAGGAGTGCTCGGCAGGGATTACCTTGAGTGACCCTGCATAGATTAGTGCGTGCATGTGAGATGGACAATTCTTTGGGCGGCTTAAGCGGCCTGATGACACGCTTTCCCGGAATATGTGCGGCGGTGCCGTGGCCCGGCAGCCCTTCTAAGGAGCTCTGCTATGGTGCTGTCCTGCCCCTCTACTGCTACCGTTTCTACCGCCATGGAAGTACTGGAGGGTAAACTCACATTTGCAACACCATTAAGCTGTGGCTCACAGCAGAGAAAAGGGGTTTTTATGACCAGCAAATGAGCTTGCAGGTATGTCACTAGCTTTGAAACCACGGTGTGTGTGCTTTTTAGTTGATAGCACTCTCACTCAGTTTATTTCCTTGTCTTGTATCTTCTTGTTTTTGTCTGTGTCGTATTTTCTATTGCTCTGTTGCTTGGGCAGTTTGCTTCTTAGCCTACATATTTACTTGAGGCTTGTAGGCAGTCCAACTCAGCTATTTTAGGGTAGTTTTTCTAGGACATGTGCAGACATGGTTTTAATGTAACTGTCAAGCCAAGGCTCTGTGGACTGCATGTACATATGTATTTATGCTATGGCGTAGGGAATATTGCCAAGACAAAATGTAGGAATTAGTTTTTAATGTCATATTTTATAGTGCAGAGAGTGTTAGACACACTGACAGCTGTATACTGTATAACATTCCTTGAGCAAATGTACTTCGTGTGTGTGTGTGTGTGTGTGTGGGGGGGGGGATATGACCCACGTGTCATCTTAACAACTGTGTTTCTGATTTTAAATGTTCTGAGTCGGTTTGTGAACACACAGAAGAAGACAACAATCAGTTTGTACTCACAGGATACACCCCCTACTGTGTCTGCAGCCACTCCATTGGTTATTTTCAAAAGTAGAAGTTGCGCCTTGACTACATGGTCATGTCTTAGCGTCTTCTTGCTCATATTGCTTTGCTCTGGCAAAAACATCTGTATATCAAGCTAGCATCTTCACCTTTAAAAACAACTTAACGATACATCACAGTAAAAGAAAACTTTCATATTTGTTTCTTTATGCAGCTTTGCTAGTATTTTTACTAGACTGTTTCTATACATCTGGTGTACAAAAACACCTGTACTGCAAGCCATGTTTTGTTGCTTAACTTTTTAACAAAACACTTTCTTTAGAAGAGCAGAACACTCACAGAAGTATGGAGCATGCGTTAAATATCCAGAGTGGAAGATAAATAAAATATCAACATTTATCAAGAAAAATGTGAATAATGTGCAGTTGTGCAACAAGTTTAAAAATATAACATGAAGCTCAATGTAGTGATAGTCTTTTGAGTATTTAATGCAGCAAAATGTTGTAATCTATGAAGGTGCTGCTGAGATAATATTCCTGTTCTGGTTGGCAAAGTAAAGCTTGTGGAATAGAGTAGGCAGGGGTAGGTTAACATCTCTACATCTCTACAGCATCACACAGGGTGGGCAAATATGCATGAGTCTGCTCTTTATACAGCTCTGTTCTTTGCAATTGGGGGTCCATAAGGGCAAAATGTTCCTTGAGTGTCCCTTTCTTAATTGCTCGTCAGTAAAGTTTATCAGGCAGTGAAACAGATTTCATTGGTTTGTAGCACCGATCAGTTTTCCCCTGCAGAGCTCTCAGTAACCAGGGTAACTGTGGCTAATGCTTGATATTTCTTACCTTTTTTTTTTTTAAATCTTTTTTCTTTTTTCAGTAATGTTTCACAGTAAATTGTTGTAGCATGATCCATTGGTCATTAATGTTACCGTCAGAATTTTATCCAAAATTACTGCCAGCTCTATATCATGGGATAAAATGCTGCTGTTCAGTGTGTGCATTTACATTTATTTCCTATTCTTTTCTTTTTTCCTCCTTTTTTTTTTTGTTGATATAATTCCATTAGTGGAATGTATTTGATTGTAATTGTGTCAGTGGATGATGGAAATAATGATAATGAATTGCAATGATAGAAGTGATGCATAGAAACAATTTAGTACATTTTTCATTTCCTATTCCTGTAGTGAAATAGCTTGAAGCAAGAGTGAGAGATTCCTCTGGTGGCCTAAGTTCTGTGGTAGGAAAGGGAAGATTGACTTGTGGCTCTGTCATTTCCTAAATCAAACAGCACTTGTGAATCAGCAAAAGAGGGGAGAAATTAAAACTCTCAAAATATTCAAGCTAGGTCAGGAAAGAGCTTCATTTAAAAACACTGAAGAACCACAGAACCACAGGGCCTCATTGACTTTTGGAGAACATCTGTGTAGAGGCTCTTTACGCAGTGTGGGAGAAGAGGCAGGAATGCCACGGCTCTCTGACCACCTCCAAAGCAAACACGAGCACTCCCTGACCCAACCAGAACACCATCTCACTGAAGGATGTGTATGGGGAGAAGAACTCTAAAACAGACTGGTCTCCTCTGCAAAAAGGGTCTCTGAATTGTGCCAAAAACATGCTTTGCAGACTACTGCAGGAAGGAAATGAGTCAAGAGTTTAAGCCCCAGTCCAAGTTTGACGTGGTCCTTTCTGCATACATCAAGCTGCAATCTGAGCTCCGAATCTGCAGGTCTTTCCTGAAAGAACTGAACATTGCAGCCACATCATCATACTGTACTGTAGACCATCATACCACTTCCAAAATATTTTTGCTGTGAATATTCCTATGCTGTTTTAGCATGCAATATTCTAACATGGGTCAACACACTTTTGAAATGTTGTAGACAGCACCATCATATCAATCTTAAATTCTGGCAAGAGGCCTGATCCCCAGCAAAATGTCAATGCAAAAGTAATTTGTAAGCAAAAGTCCTTTACAAATAAGACTAGCTAGCAGAGCTGACATCAACCATGAATCAGTTTTTACTGATTTGTCAGCAATAGATTTAAGGGACACGAAGGGAGGATGTGAACTAAACAGTAAAGGGTAAACTTGAGAATCCATCACATGACATTTTCTTTCAGATACTGTAGATTTGATCAGTCATGCATCTCCACTCGTAGAAGGCAAAATCCCCTCTGATTATTGGCTGTCTCTGGCTAGAGCAGCCACTAATTCTAATTGCATACTGCCTGTTTTTGTGGCGATGTCAAGCACTTCTGTATCAGACTTTACAGGGTGATACGGCAGCCAGACTCCTCATGTGCAGAACCATGTTGTTGTAAAATAGACAGACAGCCACAACCCTGTTTTTTTTGTTTGTTTGTTTTTTTTTAGTTGTACCCCTGTCTTCCCTCTCTTTGCCTCAGTCCATATCTTTTGCCTTTACCATTGAGTGAAGCACATTCCTTGGCCCATCTGGTACCAGCATGGGATGTTTGGCTTGGCATAGCCAGACTTGTTCCAGCACAGCGCTTTCATGGAACAGGCAGGAGGAAGCTTTCTGTGGTTACCGCGCCAGCAGTGATGATAAAGAATGCTGCTCTGTCCTCAATCACCCTTGTTGGACCTGTTTCGAAAATTCACTTTTGAATTATGTTTTCACTCAACTCTTGTAGGTAGTATCTATCTTAACCCAACCTCTCCCCTTTTTTATTTGAAACACTAAGATTCTCTTCTTTAGACATTTTTATATGTGACAGTGTGGTTTTAAAGTTCATAATGAGTGTCATGGCCAAGCCCTTTTCTCTCTTTGAGGGATTTATTGAGACAAATGAGGCATGAGAACTGGCCACACTCCAGATTTCTTCATTTTGGAATGAAAGAACAGTATCTGCAATGTGGTTTGTCTCTGTCTCTTATGTTTCTGCAGATGCTGGACAATGTGAAGATGTAATTATCAAAATATGTCATAGCCATAGGATGTCTTCTATTTGTTTTTCTTTAGTCTTTATATTTGTTACATTGTTTAGTTTGAGGAAATTGTTCTGCTTGAAAGAAGCAAGTCTAATCTGCCTTTCACCTGTTTGTCTGCTATCAAACTGAATATGTAAGCAGACTATTCAGGACCATCTTCTGTTGTACAATTTTAGATCGTCTTTTGGGCTAACAGGGTCAATGTTATACGGCTGCTATACCACCAGAAGATGTCTGTTGCTTGGTAGCATGCAAGAAAAACAGTTGCAGGAAGTGTGTAAAAATGTCTGCACGGGTGTAGTTAAGGTATAAGGCAGGTGCAACATAAGCATGTGGTATATTCTGTATCATAGTGAAGTAGTATAACACTGGTGGAAGCAACATTAGCATATGGCTGCTTTGGAAAAAACAAAAATGAATGCTTGTGGTGGTTGTTTTGAATCATGTTTTTAAATGTATTACAGGATAGGTTTTTCTGAATTAAAGGATCAATATCACTTAGTACTGAAAAGTATTCTCTGCTTTGTGTTTTTGATTTACACTTCTCAAAACCTAAATCAGTGTTGTTAATGTACACGTTGACCTTTTTCTTAACGTTTCAAAGAGGAACAACTAAATATTTCCCGCTTGTGTTTTGTCTTCAGCAAATAACACGTCCCTCACAAGAAGACAAATCAGACGAGAAAAACGAAGAGGAAAAATCCGAGAAGTCTGAGAAAAAAGAGGACGAGGAAAAGAAGGACGAGGAAGAGAAAGATGAAAAGGAGGATTCTAGGTGAGTTGTGACTAGTTACTTATCCTAGTGTCTCTCTTGTCCATTAGACCCTGCTGGCATTACATTTTATTTCAGTGCTCTCAGTTAATCATTGCTGTCAATATATGCAGTGTGACTTCTTTTAATGCTCCTATATTATAAAAGACAGACTGGTGTGTGAATGCCAAATAGTAAAAATGTCACACTTGATAGTCCAGCAACCCTGTACAGTTACGGTTGTTTATATCAACAGTATTCTTATTAGTATTCTTACCTATAAACAAGAGACATGACTGTTGCTTGTGCTATTAATGAAGCAATCCTTCCTGGACCTACCCTACTGACATTGGATAGGAATGAACACAGAAGTGAAGAATTATCAAAGCTTAGTTCCCTGTTATATGCAAATGTTTTGGATTGGGTTGTCTCATATAGTAATTAAGAACTTCAGATATGGTGCAGTGATGAGAAGATTTCACATCCCCAGGCCCCTCGGTGGAGTGATGCATGTTCGTGGTCTAAAGAAGACTTGGACACGACATAGCGGTGTCTGTTTTGGCGCACGGGTAACAGACAAAAAACCTTGCTAACTTGTTAACAAGTCTGTCCAGCTTGAGTGTAGGCAAATTCTAATATGCCTTTTATTGTGTGTTCAGTCATAGAGGAAAAGAACAGATTACAAACAGGGCCTTTTATTGCTGAGTCAAAATGGAACAGATATTTGCTGTACCAACGGTCTCAAAAGCTGTGTTTTCCCCCTCCAAAACCACAGGGACATTGGCAAGGACAAAGACAAGTGTGACGGTGGGGAGGACGAGGACGGAAAGGAGCAAAACACGCCGCGTGGCAGGAAGACTGCCAATAGCCAGGGCCGCCGTAAAGGAAGGATCACCACACGCTCCATGGCCAATGAGGCTGCATCTGTGGCGGCTGAGGAGGCACCTCCCCCTGCCACTGAGCCTGCCCTGCCAGAGCCTCCGCAGCTCCCTAAATCTGATCCAGCACAGAAGGCCATGAAGGAGCCTGCAAAACCCCACACTCCAATAGCTTCCATGGATGGCAATAAAGGTGAATTCTCTTGGGATGTTCTCTGGAGGTTGTTCAGAATTGTGTTTTTTTTTTTTTTTTACAACATAGGAACACACTTACTAACACAGAAACGAGGAAAAGGAAAGGTACAAAACATAACTACATACAATATAAAGAAAATTATGTGTGAACGTGAGTGATTCCAAAACTCATTCAAGCTGTATTATTAACAGTAATGCTTTTATATTTTTTGGCTAGGCACTCAGTCTCTCAGCAATTTATGCGACCCACATTAACAATTGCTGTCAAGTGACCACAGTGGCCATTCTCTGGCATCCCATTTAGCTTCCCAAATGTCATAGTAGGCAAAAAATATATTTTTATTTTTCCCTCATGTAAAATCAGTGGTTGGCATTGACTGGCTTGACGTAAGGGACAGCGTTTATACTGTTACCTCTTTGGTGTCATGACCTGGGGGAATTAAATAGCATGTGCTTCAGCAAGGTCTAGAGATAGACAGGATCTCTATTCTATTCTGTCTATCTCCCTCTTCAGATGTGTGGATGCATTAGCTGTTTATAGCTTGAAAGTAGACAGTTGGTTCAGCAGTTTCAGGCACTCATAGCCAAGTGTCAGTCAGATACTGTGCTGCATTGCATTCCACTCAGGAAGCTGAATAAAGTCTGTCCATCACCATGGCAATGTAGAGCTGTTGTCATGGCACGCACTTGTACTCTTTCACCCTTCTGAAGTCTGTTACTCCGACAATGGTAGCTCAGGTTTTCAGGTATCCAACTCTGTGTGTGTTAAGCTTGTTGCGTTAATCTGTATCATTAATTTACTGTTTTGTAAGCGTGCTTGGCTTCTCCGCCACCTGGTCCCTCTGCTGTCTGTTGAGCTCAGCCTCTCTCAACAGTCTGAGTTATGCAAGGTCTGCCTATAATGTGATTAACTAGCGGTCTGCAGTGTGTCCTTCCATCCTCTCAACCCATTGACCTTTCTTGCCCTGTTCTGGGTGTATCATAGTTTACATACGACTGTGTCAACTGTAATCTCCCTTAGTGACTACATCTACTAGACTATGTCTGTTTGCTTGCACTGATGTAACCCCTGCAGCTATGGTGCTTCTTAGAAGTCACTGGGCTAGGTGCTAAAGGGTAGCTATCTGTCAGTCTTGCCCAGTTGATATGATGCCAGGTAAGTTTAGGAAGCTGCTGATTCAGTGGGGGCCAACAGTGGGGGTTTGCTCTCATTTGAACCCCGTGTGTGTGTGTGTGTGTGTGTGTGTGTGTGTGTGTGTGTGTGTGTGTGTGTGTGTGTGTGTGTGTGTGTGTGTGTGTGTGTGTGTGTGTGTGTGTGTGTGTGTGTGTGTGTGTGTGTGTGTGTGTGTGTGTGTGTGTGTGTGTGTGTGTGTGTGTGTGTGTGTGTGTGTGTGTGTGTGTGTGTTCATTTTTTCTCTGTTCCTCGAGATTAACGAGCACCCTAAAGGGGGCATACACTGTCACAGGGAGAACATGTGAGTTTTGCCATGGGAAAAGGAAGCCTAGCCCAGTAGACATTTGTTTAACTAAGTGTAACAGACTGTGTGGCCAGGGGACCTTTTGATAGGAGCCGTCTAAACAGTGAGAATTGATCTCCTCATCTTCGAAGTGGGTGGGTGGTTGGGAAGGGAGGGCCAAGCCTCCTGTTAATGTCAAGGATACATCTGCTGCTATATTAGTCCAAATGTTTACACAGTCTCAGTGGGTGCCATGGAGGAGAGTGGGCTAGAGTTCACCCGGCCCCCTCCACACTAACCATGCACTTCTGTGAATTTTGTGGGGGGTGTGGAACTGTTTAGCCAAGCCGAGGCAAGAAGGAGGAGTGCGTATCTGTGTGTATATCTGTGTGTGTGTGTGTGTGTGTGTGTGTGTGTGTGTGTGTGTGTGTGTGTGTGTGTGTGTGTGTGTGTGTGTGTGTGTGTGTGTGTGTGTGTGTGTGTGTGTGTGTGTGTGTATCTCTGTGTGTGTGTGTTTGTGTGTGTGTGAGAGATTCGCAGTGTCACAGTAGAAGGGGTGGGAGGGTTTTGGGCTGGCTGTTCTATCTGTCTATTTGTCTCCATCCAAGGCCATTTCCCAAAGAGGGAGGCAGGGCTCACAACTCCTCCACTGTCTGGCGCTACATCAGCTGACCATGGCCCTCCCCTTGTGGATTAGAGTGGAGGAGGGCTTGTTCTGGGCTGTGGGGAAGGGGAAAGAGAGAGATAGGGAGGAGGGAGAATGAGAGTGTGAGAGACAGAGAGAGAGAGCTAGAACGAGAGTGTAAGTGAGGGAGCAGGTCTCGGCAGCCCCTGAATGTAAACAGATTATTAGATTAGTGGCCATGAGAAGGAGACGACTGAAGAGAGGACTGTCACTCTGTCTGTCTCCCTCCCTCCGTCTCTCTCTCTCTCTCTCTCTCTCTCTTTTTCTTTCTGTCAGTGCTGATGGGGCTGTGTCTTATTTCTTTGTGATTTAGCTGGTGCTGGTGAAACCGGAGAAACTTCTCGCTGGACCGAGGAGGAGATGGAGGTCGCCAAAAAAGGTAACGTTTCATTTATTTTCTTTCTTGCTTTATCTCTCTGTCCTTCCGCTCTTTCTCTGTGTTGCTGTGGCTGCTCTGCTTTTTATGATCTTTCTTTGCTGCCCCCCCCATTCCCTGTCTTCCTCTTTTCCTCCTCTGATTATCTGATGTTGCCTCGCCCTGCCCGTTTCTTACATGCACACAGGAATGATCGTGCACATGCATTCACACAAATAGAAACTTGTGCTGGAGCTTTACTGGAAGGTGTCAGAGACCCATTAAGGGTTTCAGGAATTTTTTTCTCTTTTAGCTGGACTGCTCTGCTGGCTTCTCAGAAGTGATCTATTAAGGCCATCCATGAAACAATAGAGTGTGACAGTTGCGACTTCCTCTAAAGATCACGATCTATAATTCATATTTAAAATCTTCAGATATAAAAAAAAATGAAACATTCTAAATGTACTTTAAGTTACTTTGGTCTAAATTCTTCATAATGTCTGTTGCATATTGTGCCTGGTGTCAGACTGCACCGCCGCAGTCATTAGTCAGGTCATATGCCATTCAAGTGTGCCCCCTCTCCCCCTTTTTGTTCGGCTTTGGTGCTATAGGTTCTTGCGTAGGCTTCTCTGAATGCCAAGACCCGTAGACTGGGGGAAGTAAAAAATAAAGGGATTAATCTGGATTAATAAAGACTCCCTTGGCTGGGAATTTGAGATTTGGTTCCCTGTTAACAAAAATACATGACTGTTATGATCTCCTCAGGCATTCAGACCTGTATGCTAGATATGTCTGTGGATTAGTGTACCTAAAGGAGACTAGTCATATGACAAAGCAGGTTCAGAAATCATCTTTGTGCTATGCCACCACACATGGCTGGTCATGCGAGCACATTTAACACAGTTGCCCTCTGAGTGATTGTTGTAACCTGTTGATATGCATAAGGCTCGCTGGTAATACCCAGCTGGCACATCCAACGCCTTGTAGTCAAATCAGAACTTTTCATGGTGGGAAGACAAACTCTATGAAGAGAAATAGAAAAGACTTGTTCTTTGTTTTAGTCAGTGTAATTTCACACCTGCAGTCTAACTGAACTGTTATGAATCAGTAGTTTTTAATTAACAAATCTACTTTAACAAAGTCAGAAAACATCCTTTATCTCTTACAAGCAGATGTGTGATAAATTAAGATCTTGTCATATCGAGCTCAACTGTTATGGTCTAATCTGGGTATTTTGTTATTTCCCTGGTTTGTCTGCATGCGGGCACTGAGGTTCGCGATATTAAGGCTTCAGAAAAAGACACTTTCTCAAGGTTAATTATTTTGACAAAATACCTGTAACACCTTTCACTATACACAGATACACACTAAGTACAAAGCCTTGGGAGTTTGGAAATCGGTTAGGAATATGCTTAAATTATAATATACTCTTAAATAGGGTTAGGGTTAGATATAACCTGATGTTTGATCTACACAATCATTCATGTCAACAAAAAATATTTTAATAATTTAAATGAAACAATCCTGACGTTTCCTGGCACAAAACACGGAGCGGACTGCAGCAAACTGGACCCGACCAGTTAGATTGACTGACTGGCCCACTCCGCATCATCATCATCCCGAAAGTAGCTAGCTAATTGTGACGTGAATGGACTGTGGGACTAATTTACTTAACCAAACACAAGTGTGTGTTTGATTCCAAGCTGGAGAGACGCTGAGTTTTAGAAACAAAAGGCAGTCATATGCCATGCCACTCACATCACACTATTGTACCTTCTCGTCAGCTATTAGAGAACAGGTGGATTTAATCACAACTGGCTGAATAATGAAGAAAAAAAAAAAAAGGGGAAAAAAAGGCAGAGGCAATAGAAAGGAAGGCACAACCTGCAGAAAGGAGATCCACCTGCATACGACTGTTATATGAAAACATGTAAACTGTTAATGCTTTGACAACATGATTCAAAAACAGGAAAGTCCTTTTCTTGTGTTCCTTTTTATAACTAGATAAGTCCCCTAGGATCTGTTACTCTGGAAATTAGCAAACATACAATCAAAGTTAAGAAAGATTTTGTTAACTATTTTTGACAATGGCATTCATAGTAACAATTAAGATGTGATGATAAAGATTTTGAGAGATATTTCTACCTTGAAAAGTGCTTGAATTTTTCTCTTAAAAAGCTGTACGAACCCAGTAGGGCTGTCCCGTATAGCATTTGTTTGGCTCCAGTAGTATGCAATATTTGAAGCTTCAGTGCTAAACTACGTTATGAAACATTTGCAAGCACCCTTTAACAGTGTAGGTTCATTCGAGGGTCCTGCTGACAGGGATTGTTTTATGTATATGTCTGCTAAATGAAGCTGCCGTAGTGGTCAAAACATAGGATATCTGATGTAACTTGTGTATAAGCCTTTTAAGTATGTGCTGTCTGTAGGTGTCTATGTAAAAAAAGACCTTCCTGTGTAACATTTGTTGATTAAAGTTTAAGTTACTCTAAACTCTAAAGATATGACTCACTGTGCACAGTCCCCTCGCCTCATTCCCCCATTTAACTGGAGCAGTAATAGGGCTTTGTGTTTAGCTCTGTGGTGATTTGTCAAGCTGCCAGTATCCCTCATCTCAGCAGGGCTGGGAGGGAGGGGAGGTCACAGGGGTCACAGGATTTAGAGAAGAGACACTCTAATGTCAAAGGTAAATGGCAGTCTTCCAGTTCACTGCAGCTTGGCAGAGTAGTTTCAAAGTTTAGTGAGACCGTCAAAGCTGATTGTGTGCTCAGCTCAGTGTTAATCAGGATGGGGAAGACCAACAGCAAACCACAGCAACGAGGAGCCCGAGAGCATGGTGTAATTTTGCAGTAATACCAAAAGTTCGGCTTCAATGATATTAAGAACTGCAGCAGCTTTTCATTCTAAAGAGAGTCCATAAATAATTAATTGAGATAATCTTCTCGAATCAAAGTTATGGCACTGATACAGCATGAAGCAATCGTTGGAAATATGCGAAGTATAAGATGTCAGACTATGTCCATATCATATCAGGCTTTGATGGCTTGGCTGCACAACTTTGCCATTCCTTTACATTGCATTAGATTATTGTTGTTAGTCTGATTAGCATAAACTTATATTATCATACATGACAAGTGATTTCAACCATATTTATTTGTATTGTATCAAGTGTTTAAACGCTGCAAATGTTTTAATGCTGAATTGTCTGTCTTTGTCTTGCGCTAGGGCTTGTTGAGCATGGGCGAAACTGGACAGCCATTGCCAAAATGGTGGGCACCAAAAGCGAGGCACAGTGCAAGAACTTTTATTTCAATTACAAGAGACGTCACAACCTGGACAACCTGCTCCAGCAGCATAAGCAGGTAAGCTATTTGCGATCTGTGTTCTGTTGTAACGTGTAAGTCAGTGAACTGTTGTAACTGCGCTGAATTAATACAAAATGGTTCTTTGTGTCTTTCCGTTTCCCAGGACACACGGCGGGCTCGTGCTGATAGGTCTCAAGGTGAAGGTCTAGCCACAGCATCACCCGATGATGATGACGAGGACAACGCAGATGACAGTGAAGGTCAGAGAGATGGATGATAGGAAGCACGTGCTCATCGTTAAAAACACAGACACACACGGCTAAACACGTTTGTTCTTCCTGTTTATCTGAGGTCAGGGCAAGTCCTTGGGCAACCTGTGTGAAGGATGCACAACAGACTGATAGGTTTATGTATCCAATGTTTGTCCATGCCTGGAGCTTCATGCCCAATATATTACCATGTGTTAAGTAAGGAGTCTATGGAGAGAGAGAATTCTGTGATAAGTACAGTGCAAAGCCCGGAAGTCTGATCCATGGCAATGTGCTAGTTCTCTACTGACTGTAGTTTTAATGAGACAGGGAAAACTAGGATCAGAAGGAAAAAAAGCAAGGGGAGAGAGGTGGAGATAAAAGATACGAACTAATTCTGACTACATGGGCGCCTGTTGCATAACAGTTCTTGGCTTTGAAGACTCAACAAAGCCTGCTCTTTGAACACAAAGTGCTGGTCCACTTGTTTGATCCAGCAAGTCTGCCTGTCTACCTCCTCTCCAGAGGTCGTTATCTTTTCTGGCATTACAGCCCCCAAAAAAAAGATGCTGTGCTACATATAGAATTAGATTATTATGAATGTTATCTTAATTAGCACCAAATAGTGCTTGTTTTTAAAATTTTAAACATTTAGGTTTTTTTTTTTTCAAACATCGAAGTCATTCAATATGTTTTTTTTAGTTGGAAAATTGTCATGCTCAGCAGACTTATATATAATTAAAACAGCCTCTAGTTCACAAGATAGCAGTGGCGACAGCGGGACGTCACAAGATTTTCCCTCATGTTTATTTGACTTTGTCTTCGTCCCATGGAAACCCAAACTGCTCTTTTGAGGCCTTGGTGATCTGCAGTATGTGGACCTCGCAAATACACATCAGAGAAGGCATTAGCACAGCTCTATTGAAGTGTACTTACAAGATTGAAGTGTTTTTCATTTGAATGTTTAGTGAAGTTTATTCTCTGGTTTTGGTTTGATACATATAATGCATCTGCAAATTGTTTTTGCATAGGCATACCATCTGGACTACCATCACCATGGCAACAGCTACAGCGGTAGACAATATTCAAACCAGCAGGGGAAGAAAGAATTTTTAAAATATGTTTTTCCTCTCTTGAGGATCTTAAGATATAATTTTTTAGATATGAATTATAGATTTGATCACTTAATTACATGCTGTTCTGTGTCTTGTTTGAAATATACGTACACAGTTGGTATTTAAGATACTTGGAGTCAAGTGTGAAAGGAACAGATTAGATTAGTGTGTGTTTTGAAAAGCTGATTTCTTGTATCTTTAAGGCCTTGGACATAGGATAAGTTTAATTTTAATGGTATAAAGCAAGATCATAATAAACAAAACCTGGTCATAGATTAGATACAGTAAGAACTGGCAATTACGTGTCAAAGCCCAATCTGACTGGTCACATTCCAGATGGGTAGGAAAGAAATGTGTGAGGCATAATGTGGAGGTAACCTTTTTTTTGGATTGTACATGTTTCTAGTTTTTGCGGTTTCTTGGATTATTCATTGATTTACTCACTTGTTTCATATTCATGATATACTCAGTCTTCCAAGTAAAGCTTTTTTACATGATAAATCACCCTAGTAGGGAGATTTATGTTGCGACAGGGCTACATTTATTTATTTATTTATTTACTGATCTACTACCTTTATTCTTAAATGGAATAAAAATTGGCTTTAAAAGTCTGAGTTTTGTGCATTGTTTCACTTTTACCAAGTCACTAATTCTAATTAATACTGGTACTTCTCATGTTTCCTCAGGCGGCGACAACAGCTCCGATACAGAGAGTGCCCCCTCCCCCTCTCAGGCTGACCCAAAGTCTGGCGACTCCAAGAGGGCAGACAGTGCTGCAGGAGATGCTCAGTGCTCTGACCAGGACAAAGGTCAGGCCAGCAATGGAAAGGCCCTGGAGCCCTCATATGGGGAACTCTGTGTCAAGGAAGAGAAAAGCCCAGAGAGTGAGAGTGGATCTCAGGAGGCAAGGGTGGGTGCCTATGCAGGCCCTGTGCATCCCAAAACAGAACCTCCGGATATGGACATGAAGACAGGAGAGGTTCAAGTCAAGATGGAGCCGGAGATCAAGGAGAGAGGAGAAAAGGGAGATCATGGCGGCAGGGAGCTCCACTCAGATAATGACTCCAGCGCCACCTGCAGTGCTGATGAGGATGGGGAAGCGGAGCCTGAAAGGAGGTCTGTTTTCATAATTGTGTTCTCAGTTGTGCTTTACAAAAACAGAACATGTTCATGGTTTTGAGTGTAACATGCATTTTGCGTTGTGCCTCTGCAGAATATTCTCCATGGAAAAGCCTTCATTGCTCAGCCCTCCAGGCTCTGTGCTGGTGTCTTCACCCAAGCAAACCCAACTCAACATCCAGCAGCTGCACCAGCGAGCAGCTGCCATCCCACCCATGGTTAGTCACAGTTTCAGGTTGATCCATTTAGATTTGCATGGAGGTAGAGGTTGAAAACATACCCACACATTCCTCACAGCAGTCATTTTAATAGTGGTGGAAAGAGTACTGAAAATCTGTACTCCAGTAGAAGTACTGTCACATTATATTCAATCGTGAAGGGAGATCCACATTTCGCTGATAAATGATACAAGGTATGAATGGGTCAAACTGTTTGTTTTCTAAACAGATAAAGCAGGAATTTTGTCTGTTAAGAGCATACTAAAAATGTTTTTGAACTTGGGTAGAACACTTAGTTTATATGCACTACAAACACAACAACAGCCAGGCAAGAGACTAATGTCTCCATTTGGTTTCCATTTCCAAAATTTCAGTCCCTAAATTAGTAGAAATTAAAGGCTTAAAGAATACTATAATAATATACAAATTACTTAATTACAGTAATGTGAGTAGTTGTAATTAGTTACTTCCACCCCTGATTATGAGCAGTGTGATAAGATCAGAAACTACAGGTGTTTATACTGTCAGTCATTTAATTTCTATGTACACAACAGTTCCATTCCAGTGTGCTCTGCTGACAATGTCAACTGTTTTGTGATCTGTAAATATGAATCATTCATCTACCAAGGTCTTGATTTAAGTGCAAGATTTATAGAGTCTTACTTTTATGTTCACCAAATGTCTTATAACCTGTCAAAGCAAACGTTATTTGCATTTTTATTTGAAATTTGTTTGTCAAATATCTCACTTAGTTTATATCTGGCATTCCAACTCATCTGGACCTTTCCCCCCCTTAACTTATCTAGGTGCCTGGTCCTTTTGGCCCCGGTGGTGTGCCCATCAGTGGCTTTGCCATGTTGCAACACCAGATCAAAGCAGCACATGAGTCTGCGCACCAAGAGGAGAAGCAGAGGCAGGATCAGGGAGACCTGGACCGTAGACCCCCCTTCAACACCCGCAGCCCCACCATACTAGACAGAGATGGTAAGAGAACAAAAACTACCCTCATTCTGTCCTCATCTGTCCTTCTTCCTGTTCATCGCTCTGTCAGCCTTGTTCCCTGTCGCTGCTAGCAGTGGACTATTTATAGCTGATGCATTTTTTAGGCCCTGTTCATTTTTGTACAGTTTCAAAAAAGCAATTTGAGGGTGATCTGGACTGTCGTAATGTGGTTCAGCCTGAGTCAAGACAAAAAAAGTTAGCTGACCCTGTTTTACATTTGATGCAAAGTCGGAGCTGAAGTCTGTGTTGATGTTCCTCTTGAAATGCCTTTTGAATGAAGGAGGGCACTGTGGTTGTTGTATGACTGGAGCGTGTCAGAGTAGGACACTTGCTGCTTCTGGGCAGTCAGACATAGTTCAACCACTTAGCTTCAGAGGGGAGAGCAGCAAAGTCACTAGGCAGACTGCATTACGGCTTGGTTTTTGCAAAGCTTTTAGCACCTTTTAGTCGGAGTGCTGTGAAGAGTAGAGCAGCTGTCAGTAAGCTGCTGAGCTTTGACACCAAGATATTCATTACATGGGTTTCAGTGGCTGTGTGTCAGGCTGGCGGTGTTAGTTGTACAGGCCCGTTCATTCTAGGTCAGCTCAATGCTCACTGGCATTGAGTTCTTGTTTTAATAGTGGTTGTCTTCCCTTTGTCCTTATGCCTGTGTACTGCAGGTAAGCCCTTATCCTACTTGCCCTATGACATGAAGCTGGCTCTGGACCAGGAGGCCCACTCTGGTCGGCCAGGCTCTCCCTACAGACTCTCCCCCAGGGAGCTGAGCAGGGCCTCACCCCAGCCTGACCCCAGCGCCCCCAATGTCTCCCGCTACAGTGTGCCACCAGGTAAAAGCACACATCTTCACCTCCTGCTCCCCTCGCTTCTTGCCTCCTCCCTTTCCTTGCTGATACAAAGTAGCCTTGCCTGACTCTTACTGAGTCTTTTGTGTTTGACAATGGAGGCGCTTTTGTTATAGTGTTATGAAGTTTGGATTGAAATGCTCTATAGTTTATTGTTATTATAGTTATAAATTGACATGTTTTGATATCTATATTTTATTCTCCTACAGACTGTTATCTGCATATACAATTGCTTGATTTATTTAAAGTTAAAGTTGGAGCAGAGGAGGACTGATATGTGACTTTTAATCCTGTTGTAAGTCTTGGTTTGGCAGTGTTTTAGAGTGTGTGTGCATTAGATAAGTCAGATTGAATTTCCTCTTGTCCCAGGGTATATGTAACCACATTGGAGGTGTACCTTGTACTGGATGGGTCAATATTTAGCTTTTCTCAAGGAATATTAAATCCGTAAAAACAGTAAAGTTATAAATGCTGCAAATGTGCTGTTTTCTTTGTAATCCTCTTTTTTAAAGGCTAAGTTGAAGAGCCAAGCTTATTGTGTATTGTAGGTGTTGTTGTTTTTATGAATAACACTTGTATAATGGGTAGCATTACAGATATGTGGTCTTTAGGCCACGCAGACCTCGAATCCCAGCACGAGGGAAATGCACTGTGCGCTTGTACACGTGTACCAGTACATAAGAGGTCAACAAGCCTGAGCTCTTTCTGGTATAATCACATACTAGAGAGTAGGTTGGTGATTTTATAACAGAAAACATCAGCACACTCTGACCCCTAATCTTGGCCTGTGTACTACATTCTTGACTCAAAAAGAGGCTAAGGTGGTATTTGAATCACTACCAGTCAGTAGTTGCCATCATCGCCATTTTATTTTGTTTTTGCATAGACTAACATTACCAAGATTATTGTATGTGAAAAATGTATTTGTTTTTCAAGAGTTTACAATGTCATTCACATTTCCATCACTAATAAGTCAGCCAATCACTTACAGTAAGTTATTTCCTTCAGATCTCCCCTGTGACATTTTTCAGTTTATTATGTCAAGGCAGGATGAGCCCGATATTTTGTGTATATTTTGGGTTAAATTTGATGCTATTTTTTATGGCACGTTGACATAAATGGAGAGGAACTCCTATGACCCTAAATATTTCACAGCTGTGTGATAAGAACTCACAGTTAACACAGTATGAATATACATGTTGCAGTGACAATGACACAGTAATGTTGTAATAAATAGAGGAATCTTTCGAAAATAAATAATAGGAGTGGATCAAAACTATGAACACGCTTGATGTTGATCCCGCTGGCAAGTTTCTCATTATTTCATAGACCTGCATTAATTTACCATATTTACAGTGTTATTTTTTGGGGACAGCAGTAAAGGCTTGCTTCTGCCTTAGGAAGGTAAAGGGGTGCAGAGAAACCATTTCCTCCAGTAAGTCTGCTGCTGCGTTGTTGATGTAGAAATTACATTTGGACTTTTATTTAAGTTTGATACCAATAGTTTTTCAGTCAGTTTATCATTTGGGGCAAACATATCTCTCATGTCCTGACAAATTAGGTTGTTGTTCCTGATAGTGAACTCAATCATCAATGTTAATGTTTGACACACAAGTCGCCCTGCAACAAGGATTTATACATTCGTCATAGAGTGGCTGGTTTTCTTATCTGTCCCTGTATGAGCCAGCAGTATGATGACGTGCATGCCCGCTGGAGGAACTCTCACACAGCCATTTGCATTTTTGATCTTGTGGAGTGCAGAGCATGAGGCATGCTCCCTGCACAGAGGTTACTCCCAGTCATGTGTGGGTGTATCTGTGTGTTATGATCCATTTCGTCTACTCGCCTTTCCCAGGAGATGGTAAGGCAGACAGCAGGCATGGGCCAAGGTTACCTCAAGCTGAGGACAGGCAATTAAGTTGTTATCAGTGCTTACTTTGCCACTCACTGGAGTCTGTCAGAATGAAGCTGAATATTTTATCACAGTTTTTTATGGAAAATCAAGCTTAATGGAACTCTTATGTTGGGTGGACTGACGCTGTGGTGTATTAGAGGACAGGTTCTAAGTTACTTGTAATCCTTTGCTTTTTATGTAGATGATTAATGCCCAAATGTTGTTCTGGTAATCATTTATCTCCGTTATTTTGTTTTTGTTTTTTTTTATGTTCATATTCCCACCAGTCCTCCACCCTGCCCCCAACCAGCTGGTCCAGAGTATGCCAGATGGAGTCCGTGTGACGTTCAGCAGACCCAGTCGACCTCCCAACATTCCCTCTCCTCCACCACTCATTCCAACCACCAAGCCCACGGACAAGCCATCCTTTATCCAAGGCGGCTCCATCTCCCAGGTAGGACACCAGGGGGCTGATGGCAAAGGTCTACCGGTGGACCCAGTGGACCAACCCTGCTCTTACTACACCACTGACATTCACACCAGAGTGTAGACAAACCCATAAAGATACACTGTGGAGCTTTTTTACCTCCAGAAGTCCTGTTTTTCCTATGATTGGGTCACCATTTTGTGTATCTTGTTCATGTGTGTGACCAGATATAATTTCCTACCAATGGTATTCCACTGATCCACAGGTGGCGGTAACACACCTAGATATGCAGAAATGTGCCAACAAAGACAGGGAAGAAGAAGACTGCAAGCTAGCAAATATGAATGTAAACAGTTTAGGATTTAAAATACATGAAAAATTAGATTTGAAAATTTTTAATAAGGAAGTTAATCATTCAACACATTTGTTAGAGCTCAAGGATACACACAATACATTTTTTGGTGTGTAAAACAGAACGTAAATGCAACTTAGTTGATATACAACAAAACTCCACAAGGCCTACATTTTCATGTGAACCCATTTGGGTTTGATGATGATCCATTTTCCACAACAGACACAATGACACACCTTTCTGTTACTTACCTACATCAAAGGAAAACTTTATGCCATTTGTGTGTGTCAGGTTATACCATCCTAATAAAATGCATCATCTTGTAAGTTATTCTCTCCCAAGAAATTGTTTCTGGTCTTAAATAATAAAACAGTGGAGTAGTGTAACCCAGACCACAACTCTGGACCTTTTGTAGGGTTTAATCAGTTTGCTTTGTTAAAACAAATGCTTGGTCCATACCACAAGCAGTTTGGTTGATACTTTATCTTAGAAGCTCTCTCAGCACAGTAAATAGAAAATAGTGTATTTTTCATTCATTTTCATTCCTCTTCATGTTAAATGTGTCTGAGTGCTTAGTAGGGAGCATAAATGACATTTATTTTTTCAGTCTCTCAAAGTAAAATTTAAAGAGAAAACTTTTTAATGACAGCAATCAATTTCTCATCCATTTTTAACTTCCTGGGAAGAATTATTCTTTATTAAACAAAATTACATTTGTAGGGAACCAGGAAACAGTGAAATGTTATTATGTCTTTTCGTGTTTCTTTTTCTGTGTTTAGCTTGTTGACTGTCATTACATTAGCTAAGTTTTCTTGGTAGCTCAGCTCTACAGAAATGCAACGGGCTTCCTGTGTCCTTTGTGCCATAGCTTTTACAGTGTCATCCTTTGGGAACAATCAGCAGAGATGTTTATCAGATCATATACCGCGGTTTATAAACTGTAACACATAAATAATTATCAACATCACCCAGCACTTGTTTTGTTGTTGTTTTAATGAACACTTTGACCTGACCTTGAAATACAGTTTTTGTTCCTTCTTTCCCAGGGAACTCCTGGCACATACCTGCCGTCCCATGCTGTCTATGGGCCAGAGGGGACTAAAAGCACTGTGGGCTCCATATCTCTGGGTCTTCCTCGACAGCAGGATCCTAACAAGCCCGGTAGGACAACATTACTACACCATATTTTCATTGTGCAGGTCAGACAGGGAACCACTGAAATAACATCAAACATGACATAAACACAAAGTAGGCTTGTATGCAGTTTTAGACAGACTTTAGGTAGCTTCTCCACATAGTTTCATGCTGTTTGAGGGCCATAAGGTTTTATCTCTCTTCATCACAACATTCTGCTAAAGCAAGGTTTTACTGTATAATGGATTTTTTGCAAGTCCGTGTTCAAACATATTAAAAATAGATGAATCACTAATGCTACACTTAAAATCAGCTGCGTGTGTTTTTCAGTTGTTGTGATGACTATGAAGTAAATTTGGAAACATTTAAAACATTGAATAGACAGAATAACCTTTTTAATCTTTTCCTCTTTAATCTGTCACAAGTAGAGGGGTACTTCTTACCCAATCTCTTGAGAAGACATGTAACTCACAGAGGTAAACCAAATATATCATAGAGGAAGCTCATTATAGATTAATGAACACATTACCAGCTTATTTGTTTGTTGTATTAAGTTCTTAAATACTGAAAAGTTCAATATTAATAGCTCCACATAGGTCTGTGTGGATAATATAGTCCTCAGTAGTGTCCAGTCCAGTTCACTATGCTGAAAACATAACTGCTCATTTGTACTGCCACCAAATGTTGACTGAGCCACACTGCATAATATGTTACTATGTCAAATGAGAGTTTAAGACAGTTAAGTTAAATATTAACCAGAAAGGAAAGGTTTGTTTAAAACATCCTTTGGACACTGGGGACACTGTAACAACAAAATCACCTGTGTAAATATAATTTTGTGGTTTCAGAGCTTCTTCTGTTTGTATGTTTTACAATTTAGATCTTGACACTTGAACGGGTGTTACTACCAAAGTACCAATCACACATGACCTAACTCTCCTTTGTCATCTGTGTAACTCTCAAGGAGCTGCAGTTTCATCCATACAGGATGGCAGAGGAAACCCAGCAAAGGTGGGGGAGGGACTTGCTTTCAGAGGATCAATCACTCAGGTAATTAACTGATGATGTGCTTTTTTTTTTTTTTTACATGAAGGTATGGACAAATGACAGATAGGAAAGTAGACTTTTTTGGGGGCAGTTATTGAAGCGTTTATATTTAAGGTTTTATGATTTTGCTTTTTATGTTTCATTATGTCTTTCCTCTTTTTTTAAATAGGGCACACCAGCCCTGCCCCAGTCTAGCATTGCTGCTGACCTCCTGAAGGGCACAATCACAAAGCTGGCCACAGAGGACCTAAGCAGTCCAGACAAGTCCAGAGGAGAACAGCTGGCTAAAGGTCATGTCATCTATGAAGGCAAGAGTGGTCACATCCTCTCCTATGATGGTAAGTGCTTTGATTATTAATATACTAAATAATTGTTGAGTATTTCTTTCCCAAGCACACAAACTTGATGACGATTTATTTGTGTCCAAAAGCTATCAAGAACCCCAGGGAAAACACCCGCAGCCCCAGAACAGGCCATGAGCTAAAACGCACTTACGACATGATGGAGGGACCCATGGGCAGGGGTCACCCTGGCAGGGAAGGGGCTCCATTCGAAGGTATTGCTTGTATGTTAATAAGTGTACACTTTGTGTCCTGGTTTGTTTTCTCTGTATCAGGAG